AAGCGTAGTGTAATTTATATTGAGTAGGACGGGCAAGGAATCATTTGCATACGGCTCAGTTCTATGATAGCCATGTGAAAATGTGCTTTAAAATTCCCTTGAGCGAAACCTATCTCCGTTAATATGCGTTTTGAACCTTTCTAAGTCCATCTATGACGGAAAAATTTTTTCGATCAGCCAAAAATTTTCTAAGTGTCAACCTCAGCTTTACTTGACTGCGAAATCCGGGCAAGCGTAGTGTAATTTATATTGAGTAGGACGGGCAAGGAATCATTTGCATACGGCTCAGTGCTATGATAGCCATGTGAAAATGTGCTTTAAAATTCCCCTGAGCCAAACCTATCTCCGTTAATATGCGTTTGTACCTTTCTAAGTCCATCGTTGAGGAAAAAATTTTTTCGATCGGCCAAAAATTTATTTGACCCACAAATCCGGGCAACGGGCAAGCGTAGTGTAATTTATATTAAAGGACGGGCAAGCGTAGTGTAATTTATAGTAATCGGGACGGGCGAGGAATCATTTGCATACGGCTCGGTGCTATGATAGCCATGTGAAAATGTGCTTTAAAATTTCCATGAGCCAAACTTTTTAAGTCGATCTATGACGAAAACGTTTTTTCGATCGGCCGAAAATTTTGTAAGTGTCAAGGCTACTCCTTACAACTTGAGTTGTACTGTGTAAATCAACATTGCATGTTATCGCTTTAGTTTTACTTTCTTGTCTTACTTGAAATCAAACGATGTCAATGGGTTACTCATTCCTGTCTCGCTGGCTGCGTAACCTTGACCAAGACCAGTAAGTTGTTGATACAGTAGTTTCACCTGGATGAATGGTAACAAGGATAGGGTTATGATGGTGATGATAGTGGTGAATGTGATGATCATGGTAATTGTATTGTCATTGTAATGATGATGATGGTGGTGAAGATGGTTGTGGTGGTGATAGTAGTATGGTGATGATCATGATAATAATGATGATCATGGTGATTGTGATGATCATGGTAATGGTATGGTCATAGTAGTGATGGTGATGAAGATGGTTGTGGTGGTGATTATGATGGTAATAATGATGATGATGGTGGTGAAGATGGTTGTGGTGGTGATAGTAGTATGGTGATGATCATGGTAATAATGATGATCATGGTGATTGTGATGATCATGGTAATAATGATGATTATGGTGATTGTGATGATCATGGTAATAATGATGATTATGGTGATTGTAATGAACATGGTAATGGTATGGTCATAGTAGTGATGGTGATGAAGATGGTTGTGGTGGTGATTATGATGGTAATAATGATGATGATGATGGTGGTGATAAGCATGGTCACAATGATGGTGAGGGTGGTAATAATGGTCATGATTCTTGAGTTCATACCAAAGCAATACATAACGAATACCTGATACCAGTAAGGATCCAAATTATTTGACTCAATTTGAGAAGACAAAAAAATGGAGTTCTCATACAAGAACATCTTAAGTTTATCACACATCTTTTGATTCTGTGAACAATACGTAGCGAGGGTGTTTTTCCACTGCATCAAGATAAATTCTGCTGTCAAATATCCTTCTACCATGCCAGCAGCCAGAGACTGGATGTCGTCTGGGTAGGTACTTGTTGTGTGCACCTCTAAGTATGACCATCTACATAGCAACAGAATGTCAATATTGGTACAGGCTAATCTGACAGATGGGTTTTCTGGGATGGTCAAAATAGAAATTCTTCAGGGAAGGTTAGAAATTTTTAATTTTTAATTTTTTAATCGGTTCACTCCAAAAGTCTCATGGAAATACGCTAATTGCATATTTTTAAAAATTAGCATATTTTCCATGCAATCATGAAACGTGTATCCACTCCAGTAACAAATAGAGCTCTCCGGTTTCAAAACAACTACTGTTTCCACTTAAGATATAACATTTTCTTGATCAAAAAAATTCCTTGTACGATGTCGTGACTTTCAATAATACAAAGCACGCAAATAAAAAGATTCAACAATATTTTTTTCTTATACAGAAATATTTCTATCTTAATATTGTCCAATGGCGATTAGTTCCTACAGTTTAGCAATTTAATACGAAAATAACGAATGCAAGCCAAGTCACACTAGAATCACATGACGGAAGTATGGTTTTATACTTTTATACTAAGCTAACTAAGCCAAAATAAAATACTTTTTAGGCTTATTGAGGCATTAACTAGAACACTATAGCACTTGGCAGTCAAGTATTTACTAAAATATAAACAGTATTAAAGAAAGTGTGTATGAACAAAAGCAGCATACCCAGTCTTGTTGACTTGGTTGGAGAATCTAGCCCATGCTACAGCGCCTTCAAGAACATCGTCTTCGACATAGAGTCGGTTTGATAGAGGATCCAACAATACGCTTGCATATTCACCATCATCTGCCCTGGTTAGAGCGAAATGAAAGAGAAATAGACAAGCAATAAAATACGCTCTCATCTTCATATTTGCGCAGTTTTAATATGCCTCTATTTACACCTTGCCTGCATTGCGGGTGTTTGCGCAAACTGAGCTAATTAATTAACACGAGCGCCCTAAAATCGAGAAGGGGTTTAACAGCCGGAGAAAGAGGCTTAATTAAAAGAGATGGGGGCTAAGGATGGGGGATAGGGTGTGTAGAGAGGGGCTTACTAGAGAAGGGGCGATTCAATAATGGTGGTAGCTAAAAGTATTACTCCAGTTAGATTATATCAGTTGGATTGTATAGAGCCCACCGCCGGCTCACATTCGGAATGCTTCGGATTGATTTCGCCTGATCAAGATGGCGGTCTTCAAATAATAGCGGAAGAAGAAAACAATGTAATTTAATTTTGTTTCAGCGTTCTTAAAGAAATCTGCTGGGTCCAACACTTTTCTGGTAGATGTTTAAATATATAAGCAAAGGAATGAAATTAAATGAGAGATTATTGGCCAAATTCGCAACTGATTATGCAACAGCTGACAGAGAGGGTTTTCTCTTGAAAAAGGGGGAAGTAAACAAAGGCTTTCAAAATCGATTCTTCGTTCTGCGCGGGAACTTGTTGTTTTACTTCGAAAAGAAACATGATAGAGAACCTGTTGGTGTCATAATTCTTGATAATTGTCGTATAGAGCTTTGCCCGAATGAAAATTCGCTGTTTGCTTTTCAAATTGTTTTTGAAGGAGTGGGCACCCGGACTTATGTTCTTGCCGCAGAGACTGAGGCGAGTATGAAGGCATGGATGACAAAACTGACTCATGCTGGACATATTTGTATTAGAACTATTGTTAACGACTTAGAGCGGCGTCTCTCAGAGTTACAGCACAAAGAAGCAAGTATGGTACCTGAAGTCGGCGAAGCTATGTTTTCAGAGTCTAGTTCTGAGTCCGATAAGGAGGAAACTGCGACATCGTCACATCAACAGACGCTGCCTATTGCTTTACCTAAACCACCGAGTCATGCTCTACAACGAGATAAAAGTAAAACGCTTCCCCCACGACGAATTCCAAACAAACTGGTTGATCCGATTTTAAGTAACCCAAAACCAAATCGTTGGAGCTTGTCGGCGAAATACCCAATGCAAATGTCCGAATCTTTTGAGGGTAAAAAACAATTATGGTTTGATAATTTGGCAAATTTTTCAGAAAGAACTGATTTTTTATGTGAGGATACTTTTCATCCAGGTCGTCATTTTAGCATGAAGGCTTTCTCACCACCGTCCTTCTCGGAACTTAAAAACCATGAAGAAATAGAGGACCGAAATTTAATCGATCTGTCACCGGCCGATGGAGGAATCCCGCTTGAAAAAAAAATTGAGACTATTACACTAACTGACAGATTTAAAGGGAACAGACGTGCAAAATCAGAACGACATCGGATCAAACGTGGGGGACTTTCAGGGGCAAGGAGGGACGTAGGGGGATCCTTTTATACTCATAAAAAACGTCCGTCAGATGATTTGATCCTCTTGGAGGAAAATCATGACTCAACATTTCAGCATTTACATCGACTATGGGGGGCTACTATTTGGACGAAGGTTCGAGAATATGAAATTCAAAATTCTAAGCCGGAGGCCGAGGGTAGTTCTTTTAACGAATCAAGAATTTAATTAATCAAGAATTTAACTAATCAAGAATTTCTAATTTTTTAATAAAATTAACCTCTAATATGTATAAAACCAGTGTATTTTATTTTTCTGTGCAGGATTGTGTGATCCATGCATGAGGGATGTCGTGAGACTTTCGAAAGTCGAGCAACATCCCAAGTGCATGGATCACGCTATCCTGCTTGGAAAACCATTTGGTAATTGTTTTATAACTACACATTTTGAGAATCCTGCGAAGGCATTTTAATTCCTCGTGCAGGGTAGCCCGATCCTGCACGGCTATCGACCAATCAAATTGTGTGTTTTACTGTAGTTATTATATAATTATAATTATACAGACACAGCACTGGTGTAATTAAAACTTCTGCATGCAAAGGAGAATATCAGTGCATTGGGCTATATATGTAACTGGAGTGAAACTTAAGTAATGAAAATGAAGCAAAACAGTTCACCACATTGGGTTTAAGCACCTAATATTGGCTACTTAGTCTACTCAAGGGCAAAATTAGTTTCATTTACCTATGCTTCTAGTTATATCACAGTTAATTAATAATAGATTAACTGTGGTTATATGTAGAGCTTAATAAGCATATATGGGGCTGGTATGTACTTTTTTTTTTGGGGGGGGGAGGGATTTTAGAGTTTGTCCTAATTTTTATGGAGAATAGATCTTTCTTATGACGTCAACGCGGAATTGCAGACCTGCCAAGGTTCCCGCATTTCGCGTGAAAGTTACGCATTCTGCTTTTGTTCCCGCTGTCCCGCACCGGCCGCACGCATGACTAAAATGATCTTAATACAGTTACGCATTTTTACCATGATATCCCACTTTTCATGGATGCAACATTACCAGGAATAATATAATCGGTACAATAACTCATCGACAACGCTGTGTGCAAAAGTTTTGAAGACGTCTAAATCGTAAAACTATGAAATCTCACCATTTGCTATTGATGCGCCATGATACAGAGCTGCCAAGTGTCGCGCACTTGGCCTGAACGTCACGCTTTTAAATTTTGGTTCCGTAGATACAGCACTTCATCGCGTATTTTAGCCCAATTTCACCTGAGTATGAACAATAGTGGGCAAGCCTTGGTCAAATCTTACATACAGTATTGTTATTTAATAGCAACACCGTTAGATCCGAACTTGGGAAAATGGAGCAATTTCTAGGAACAATTAACGCGAATTAATTAAGCGATTATTAAAATTAATTTTTAACCAAACTCGTTCTCAGGGCTTTGCCCGGTCTTGCTTTCAATATGGCGAACGACGGTGAGTGAGAAAATATTCTTCGTTTACTTTCATTATTTTACAGTTTGGTTTAGTTTTTAATTGTTGTTTTAAAAGTTTAGGTATTTAGATTATATAGTGTGCACATTTGCAAGTATTTAGCATCCGTAATTATCAGTTTGAATTGTATTTTTGTTGCATATTAATACTGTATTTCTGTTTGACATGTTTGTGACAGCATGTACAATATTGATAAATATTAGCGGATATTTCAGTTTTGAATAAGGATATCACCAGGTTTTATGACAAACGACAAATTCAGGACATATTTGTTTAAGATGTAATAGATTTGATTGTAAGATTTACTGTGCTATACAAACTATATATAGAATAATAATTCATAATTGCTTATAAGTATGTCAAATATGTCCATGTTTTGAATTGAAAAATTCTTGTAAATTAGATGTTTTACAAAAAGATCTGTGCAGGAGAAACCTGCAAAATATACATGGCAGACTAGTTTGCCAAGTTTTCAAACTCGAATAGACCTTTCCTCTTTTGAGTGAAATTTTGATCTAGACAAGTCTGGACAAAAATTTCAGTCATTTGGTATTACAAACAGGAAATTGATAATCAGATGATCAAACTGATGCAAAATGTTAGATTGTTAGATTTCGCAACGAAACTTCGGAATATTACTAATTTTGTGATGCTATTTCAAGCTGTGATGAAATTGTTGCCCCTGGAGGCATATCTAGATCAAAATTTCACTCATAAGGGGAAAGGTCTATTGATAAAAGCTTAATCACATTTGCTTTCCAGTCGAGCTTCAGAAAGCCCAAAATCACCTCAGCCTTTTGCGGCAAGAGTATGTGAAACTGCAGAATAAACATGTGGAGCTGGAACAGAAGTATAACTTGCTTGTTGTGCAAACTGGTAGGGGTGAATTTGAGAAAGACAGTTTCGTGGCAAGACTCCTGAATAGTGTTGCTGAGCTGTATGATAAAGAACTGTACAGGTACTAAAGGCACCTTTGCAAGGCAAAAAACTGTATGTTTTAATTTTGCACATATTCCAAAATGTTTTGTGAATGAATGTTATTTTTAGTGATATCACAGTAAAGATTGCTGGACAAAAGTTGAGTGCACATAAGTTCATCATGGCAGCTCGGAGTGATTTCTGGAGCAATCGAGATTTGAATGAACTGAGTGAACTTGAATTGACAGGTATGTGGATTGATACATATCATTACCCAATGAGCACCAGCACTCTCCCCTTGCCGAGTTAGATTGTCTGGCATTAGACAGAGTAAAATAATAAACAATGGTGGACAACGTAATGGGTTAATTCATCATTTTTCTGTATCAGACAGCTACCTGCAGATCAAGGCATATTTTAAGGAATTTACAGTGGTGGGCCAAAATTTACGGTAGGGCCCCCGCGTCCCGCCCCCTGCCGGTCCAGCTCTGAGTATATTGAATATTTGTGTAGTAATCGTGTTAAAACGCTTCCTGAACTTATTGAGTGTCACATTCAACACATATTTATCATTTCTAGTTTCTACACTACAGAGGGGTACTCCGCTAACTTCGATACTGGCGTACTGGGGTACGTATCATGCCATCAACGGCATGGGTGACAAACCCCATTTCTGAGTTTGCGGCACTAACAGATGCAATTGATCTGACTAAAAATACAAAAAATACTGAAATGATTGTAAATGAAATGCAGTGTTGAAAGTGTTCCAGTTCCACTCTGGCACTCTCCACTAAAGTGACTAAACAGAAGTAATTTACAAACATTCACTTGATTCCCAATAAAATTTTCTCATATACTCTCTATCCTTAAAAAGTTCTGTCAGGTTGGGAATTTCTTCTCGCAGTCTCTTATTTTAATATTTTTTCTTTTCTGATAACCACTCATTTCCTTTCGCTTGTTGTTTGTCGCCATATTACAAATTTATAAAAATTATCATTTTATATTTAAATAAAAATTGTGAAACATTGGAGACATGTGCCCCCAATACGTAATGTCAGAGGACAAATATTGACGTATTTTGTGTTCTGCACGTGTATAATTTGAAACAAAACCATTACTGCAATATAAATGCCATCAAGAAATTGAAAGTTTATAGACTAGCATTTTAATAGCTTGTTTAAGGTAAATCATTTTATATTCTTGATGCTAAAATGTAAAGACTGAAGCTGCGGGGGCCCACGCAGTGGTGGGCCAATACCCTGTGAGTGGTGGGCCACTTGAGGGGCCTGGTGGGCCAAATGGCCCACCAGTCTATTACTTAAAATATGCCTTGCTGCAGATTGAACTAAACTTCAGAAGTCTCCTGACACTATAGGGGGAATGATATTAAACCAAGCAGTAAAATTTTGTCAAATATTTTGTTGTCAGATATAAGTGCGGAGGTTGGCCTTGCATTGATGAGATGGGTGTACACAGACAAAGCTGAGATAAAGAATGAAGAAAATTTCTTAGTTAATCTTGTTAAAGCTGCAAATCGTTATAAATTGACAGAGCTTCGAGGCAGGTGAGAGAATTTAATTCAGTCAGTTGGTCCAAGAGTTGGTTGGTCACTCCTTTGGTCAGCTCACAGTTGATTGGTAGCTCGGTTGGTCAGTTAATCTGTTGATTGGTCAGTCAGTAAGCCAGCCAGTGAGTGCGCCAGTCAGGGGTATTGGGTGTTCTGCAATTTTGTATTAAGTTTAGTGCAAAATTTATTTCAGATGCGAGAGAATGTTAATGTCATCAGTATCTGTTTCAAATTGCATCAAGTTTTATCAAACTGCTGAGGATATTGGCGCTGACGGACTGAGAAAATATTGTGAAGAAATTATTACAAGTCACTGGGTACGTAAATGATTACTGTTCATTTTCTACCTTTTTAACAGCAGATGATTTTGCCTGTTGTATTCATATCATTGCACATTTTGAGCTGTTTTCTAATTTTTAGTCAGATTTAAGAACTGAGGATTTTGGCAACATGTCAGCCTCGCTGCTCTATCAAATGTTTAAATCAAAGTCATCGTTTCCACTACATCTCGCGATCAAACATCATCGAGAAGATGTGGTATTTCTCTTCCTGATTGAGTTTAATTCACAGGTGGGTTCAACTGAACTCTTGTAGTATGAAGTACTGCAATATGGAGATAAAGTTCTTACTCTGCATATTTTTAGTTGTAACAGTAATTTACAATATGCATTGAAGGGTAATATTTATACTAGTTACTGGATGCCGATGACACAGTGGTTAGCTTGTGTGTCTTTCACATCGATGACCATGGTTATATTGCTCCAATATGCATAATTTGTCTGCATAATTATAATTTTGCAACAGTTGCATGTGAGTTCTAAGAGTGCTTCATTGACTCTATCAAACACCACAGGTTTCCTCCTGCAGTATAACACTGGGCTAATAAATGTGATCCTTACTGGACCTCTAGGGAGAACAGTTTAGAACTGATAGAGCTATCCTGTATAAGTAAAGTTAGTTTAGTTTAGGTTTCCTCTTGTTATAACACAGGTTGCACTTAGAAGAACAGTTTAGAACTAATAGAGCTATCCAGTATAAATAAAGTTAGTTTAGTTTAGGTTTCCTCCTGTAGTAACATTGGATCAATAAGAGATGAGAGATGATCTTTACTGGTCCTCTAGGAAGAACAGTTTAGAACTGACGGAGCTATCCAGTATAAATAAAGTTAGTTTAGTTTAGGTTTCCTCCTGTAGTAACACTGGATCAATAAGAGATGACCCTTACTGGACCTCTAGGGAAAACAGTTTAGAACTGATAGCCAGGTGATCTCGTGTTCGTATTTTAGCCAATCAGCGCTCAGAAAGGATTGTCCGAATAGAAATCCATTTTGATGTATTCAGACAATTATATCTTTCATTATTCTTTATGAAACTAGTTGAAATTTTGTAATTATGTTTGGTTATGAGAACTATTATAGCTCTGACAAAATATGGAATCGAAATAAAGTATATTACAGGAGATATTCAGTTGTTTTAATCATAAAATGGATTTCTATTTGACAACTAGTGCCAGTATTTTTCCGCGTATCAAGATCACCTGGAGAGCTATCCTGTATAAATAAAGTTAGTTTAGTTTAGGTTTCCTCCTGTAGTAACACTGGATCAATAAAGATAATTTTTACTAGGCATCTAGGGCGAAATGTTTTAACTGATAAAGCTATGTGGTATAAATAAAGTTAGTTTAGTGAAGGATCTTTATGACATAATCATATGGTGAAATCTTTGTAGCTGCCTAAGAAGCTTGACGAGTTTGATCCATCAACAGGAGGTGTCCCTCTGAATATCGCCCTGCTTGAACAGCAAGAAAGCATCGCTAAACAACTCGTCACCAATGGTTGTGATGTTGATGTGCCTGACTCTGAGGGATCATGTTTACTTCATAAAGCGATCGAAAGAGGAGATGAATTTGCTTCAACCTTTTTAATAAAAAATGGTGCGAAGGTTAACGCTGTCACAACGACCGAGCAGATCTCACCTCTTCATCTGGCTGCTTCGTACAAGTATGTGATTATTGCTTCCTTTGTTTCAAAACCGTTTTATGAAAATGAGTCTCCTATAATTTTTACAATTATCTATTACTACATCGATCTAATTTGCCTCACAATTTCAAAACTTAGTATAATAACTCACTTGTTGTTAACTTATATATGTTTTTTTATTAAATGTCAAACTTGTTTGATGGTTTGAATTTGTTCTGCAACAGGTTACGAAGTCAAATTAATGTAATATACCCTTCCGGAATGTACTTAGCCTTGACTATCGAGCCTCGCTTTCATGATTGCAATCTCATCTTTAGAGTAATTTATCTTGTTACTGCATGATGACCTAATTATGTAAAAGCCTCCCATATTCTCCAATATAACTGAGTGAAATGTGTCGACTGTAACAAGATGAAAGACTCTAAAGGAAAGGTTTATTGGCTCACGTAATGTACGGCGGAAGTTTATAAAAAAAAAAAATAAAAAAAATTTAATAGATAAATAAATAAAAATAAATAAATAGATAGACTTGAAAACAGTAAACAAAATAATCAGCGTCATATTGTCTGGAGGCCACTGTAATAAAAGTTCATCAGACGTTGTTGTGTCGAGTCTCTTCTTGTCCACATCTTTTTATTTATCGTATTTACTTCTGCATTGTATATAATGATATATTTTCAAACCTTTGTCATTGTCAACCATTACATCACCTCTAGAGCATGGTCAACAATGCATGAGAAGGCAGCCAGCTCATCAAACAGAACCTCCGCTGAAGGAATGGCGAGAGTTGTTCAACTGTTGATGTCTTCTTCAGCTGATCTAAATTTACAAGACGTCAATGGATGGTAAGAAAATATCCAACCTCACAAGCGCGGCCCTTTACCTCGAAAAACTATATTCATATTTAAGACCTGACCGGGAGCATTTTCAAAACATGCTCAAAAGGCTCTGGCAAGGATCTGCGCTTCGTCCAAGTTTTTTTGTTTGCTGCGTAATGATAGATTGTCATATCAACATCTTGAATATTCATGATTAGCGTGTAGCTCAGTTGGCAGAGCATTGGGCTAGTATTCCAAAGGTCGTAGGTTCGATTCCCACCGTGGTCAGGCATATTTTTCAAGCTTGCCCGGTGTGGATATACACTCAGAGTAACATCACAAGCATCATATTCACCTGAGTACACAACACCAACACAGAAAAATCATGATTATTATTAGATAACATTGATATCGAAGGAACTAGATTCTGTTCCGAAATATCACATACTTGAATCGAGTTCACTGACTCGAACCGACCAGACCGCGTAGCTCAGTTGGCAGAGCATTGGGCTAGTATTCCAAATGTCGTAGGTTCGATTCCCACCGTGGTCAGGTATATTTTTCAAGCTTGCCCGGTGTGGATATACACTCTGCAGAGTAACATCACAAGCATCTTGAATATTGTTCAAACTTCATTCAATTTGCTTCCCATGAAAAGAATTTTTAAGTGTGTATGTTTTGGGTTTTTATTATAGCTCTCCACTGCATCAAGCTATATTATCAGAGAATGATCAAGTTTTTAATCTTCTACTAAAACAATCCAGGTAGGTGAATGTCCTCTTTTTTCCAAAATTATCGACTGTCCTAATACCTAATTGTCGCTTGCAAGGATGGATGGATGGCATGGAGAAAAATGGGATTTTTCAAACAATGAAAAGATAATGGAACATTCCGATCGCTTGATCGTGACTGGGTGACATGGCGAACAGTGGGATTTTCAAAACAATGAAAAGACAATGGAATATTCTGATCACTGGATCGTGACTGGATGACATGGCGAACATTGGGATTTTCAAAACAATGTAGAGAAAGTGGAACATTCTGGTCACTGGATCATGACTGAATTACATGAAAACAGTGGGATTTTCAAATGACTGGATAGCACTTTTGCTAAATGCTCATTGCGAAATTCAACCTTTCTATTACTACGATATTTTGTTGAAATTGATGTTTTAAATTTCAGTCTAAATTTGGAAATCAAAGACAAGAAAGGTCGAACGCCATTATGGTTAGCTTTGACAGTTCCTGATGAGAAAATCAATCCAGATGACGAAGATTCTGTTGCAGCAAGGTTGTCCCAAGCCGGGGCTTCTCCCGATTCCATTGAAACATCATCTGGTGAGGACATTTATTTCTTTCATTCCTGTTCACACAATCATCCTCTGCTCTTTCTTTTGTTCATTATTCTCTTTGTATCTCTCTTCCTACGCTTCATTTCATCTTCATATTGATTCATTCCCTCCTAGGTGACTCTCTGTTGCATTTGGCTGCGACACAGTCTCGTCAGAACGCAGGTCTATTCCTAGCCGGTCATGGCGCGGAGCCAAACGTCACGAACAAACTCGGAGAGACTCCACTCCATGGAGCTTGTCGCAGTGGATTGATTACCTTGGTCTCGAAGTTATTGCACTGGTAGGTTTGCGAAAAATTGCGGGGGGGGGGGATTTAGGTTGCCACTACATGGCCACTTTTTGTTCCTGGAAATCTCAGTTCTTTAAAAATCTTGCATTAATTTTTTCCAGTATGTAGCCCCATTTATAGGCTACCAAAGCTTTCATACGTTGACAAATTATTGTTACAGCTTTAATAAATAGAAGGTGGTTCTTTACTGGATCTCTAGGAAGAACAGTTTAAACCTGATAAAGCTGTCCAGTATAAATAAGTAAAATTGGTTTAGTTTAGATGGAAAATGGAGTTTTGGCATTTGAAAAGGGAGTTCTGGCGTTTGAAAAGGTACTTCTGGCATTTGAAAACCACGTTCTGGCATTTGAAAAGGGAGTTCTGCCATTTGAAAAGGGAGTTCTGGCATTTGAAAAAGGAGTTCTGGCATTTGAAAACCAAGTTCTGCCATTTGAAAAGGGAGTTCTGGCATTTATAAAAGGAGTTCTGGCGTTTGAAAACGGAGTTCTGGTTTTTAAAAGGGAGTTCTGAACCTCTAGGGAGAACAGTTTAGAACTGATAGAGCTATCAAGTATACATAAAGTTAGTTTAGCAAAAAAGTTGAAGTATTCATTTTTTTTCACAGTGGTGCAAATCCAAATATTCAGACGACTGAGACGGAGGAACTAAAACAGAAGTTATCAGAACGTAGGAAAACGCGGTTGGAGACTAAGGCCGAGGCAAGACGGAAAGCCATTGCCATAGCAACTGAATTGCAAAATCAGAAACTACAGGAAGCCCTAGCTGCAGAAGAGATGGAGAAACGAAAAAAACGTGGGTCGAGTACCACCGCATCGGAGCCTCGGTCCGAGTATATTCCTAATGACTCATTTGAAGCTGATTTAGGTAAGCGAGGGGGGGGGGGGTAGGGGGTAAATGAATGTCACTGGGGGTGCAAAGGTGTTGGTAACTCAGTGGTTTTGACTTTCACCTCGACAGCAACTACAGTACCCTTGTTGCCCTAAATATTCCTTTCTAATCAAATACGTATATGGTCGTGTTTATATATACCGAAAACCAGTATTTTACCTCAGTTCCATGCAAGAAGAATTCTTCCAGTTTGACTGAGTTTAGTTCTGGTTTCTTCTTGTAGTAGTACTGGATCATTAAGAGATGATCGTTACTGGACCTCTATGAAGAACAGTTTAGAACTGATAGAGTTATCCAGTATAAATAAAGTTAGTTTAGTTTAGGTTTCCTCCTGTAGTAATACTGGATCAATAAGAGATGATCCTTACTGGATCTCTAGGGAGAACAGTTTAGAACTGATAGAGATATCCAGTATAAATAAAGTTATTGTTGTTTGACTGAACGTATACCTTTCTTAGGAATAAACAATCCATTCATGGAATCAGATGAACAACCAGTCAGTCCACCAGACTTAAAAAACCCGTTCTTTGATGATCTTCGCGCAGCAGCAGCGGCTTCGGCCGTCGCGAGAGGAGATGCGAATCCATTTGACCCACCAGCTCAGGTTGAAGAAAGTAAGTTGTGCGCGCCTTCCAACTCCATTTCATTTCATTTCTGCAGTTTGCAATTTACGCCTCAGTTGTTTTTGAGAAGAGTGCGTCCAATTATTTAGTTCAGTTTAGATTTTCTTCTGTAGTAACACTGGACCAATAAAAGGTGACCCTTTACTCTAGGGAGAGCAGTTCAGAACTGATAGAGCTATCCAGTGCCAATAAAGATAATTTAGTTTAGTTTAGGTTTTTTCCTTTAGTAACACTGGATCAATAAGAGATGATCCTTACTGAACTTCCAGGAAGAACAGTTTAGATCTGATAGTTATCCAGTATAAATAAAGTTAGCTCAGTTTAGGTTTCCTCCTCCTGTAATAACACTGGATCAATAAGAGATGATCCTTACTGAACTTCCAGGAAGAACAGTTTAGATCTGATAGAGTTATCCAGTATAAATAAAGTTAGCTCAGTTTAGGTTTCCTCCTGTAGTAGCACTGGATCATTAAGAGATGATCGTTACTGGACCTTTAGGGAGAACAGTTTAGAACTGATTGAGCTATCCAGTATAAATAAAGTTAGTTTAGTTTAGGTTTCCTCCTGTAGTAACACTGGATCAATAAGAGATGATCCTTACTGGACCTCTAGGAAGAACAGTTTAGAACTGATAGAGCTATCCAGTATAAATAAAGTTAGTTTAGTTTAGGTTTCCTCCTGTAGTAACACTGGATCAATAAGAGATGATCCTTACTGGACCTCTAGGAAGAACACTTTAGAACTGATAGAGCTTTCCAGTATAAATAAAGTCAGTTTGGTTTAGGTTTCCTCCTGTAGTAACACTGGATCAATAAGAGATGATCCTTACTGGACCTCTAGGAAGAACAGTTTAGAACTGATAGAGCTATCCAGCATAAATAAAGTTAGTTTAGTTTAGGTTTCCTCCTGTAGTAACACTGGATCAATAAGAGATGATCCTTACTGGACCTCTAGGAAGAACAGTTTAGAACTGATAGAGCTATCCAGTATAAATAAAGTTAGTTTAGTTTAGGTTTCCTCCTGTAGTAACACTGGATCAATAAGAGATGATCCTTACTGGACCTCTAGGAAGAACAGTTTAGAACTGATAGAGCTATCCAGTATAAATAAAGTTAGTTTAGTTAGGTTTCCTCCTGTAGTAACACTGGATCAATAAGAGATGATCCTTACTGGACCTCTAGGAAGAACAGTTTAGAACTGATAGAAGCTATCCAGTATAAATAAAGTTAGTTTAGTTTAGGTTTCCTCCTGTAGTAACACTGGATCAATAAGAGATGATCCTTACTGGACCTCTAGGAAGAACAGTTTAGAACTGATAGAGCTAGCTATCCAGTATAAATAAAGTTAGTTTAGTTTAGGTTTCCTCCTGTAGTAACACTGGATCAATAAGAGAAGATCCTTACTGGAAGGAAGACAGTTTAAAAATAATAGAGCGTTATGAGCTATCCTGTAAAAATAAAGTTAGTTGACTTAGTTTAGTTAAGTGACTGGCGTTTCTTCAAAGAGATACTTTCCAAGTTTTCATCATTTGTTGACCCAACATTTTATATCATTTACAAATTTAGGATCCAGGAGACAATCGGAGAAACAGCACAAGGGAATCTCGGAACCGAGAAAGGAATTCACAGAAACAGAGATTGAGGAGTTGATACTTGAACATAATTTATACGACGAGAGTTTGAACAGTTTGGTTGTCGACTGTCATGGCAAAACACCGCTGCATTACTCCATCATTGAAAAACATGAGAATGTTATAAACTGTTTTAAAGAGTTTGATGGTAGGTAATATGTGGTTGGTTGTGACAGAGGCTGAATTCTTGCAATATGCAGTTGTCTGATTATAATTTTAATTCAGTCACATGTGAGAAGACTGCTTTCAATTTAACTCTACCAAGCAAAACACCCTTTTCAAATAGCAAGTCACCCTTTTTAAATAGCAAGACACCCTTTTCAAATAGCAAAAGACCCTTTTCAAATAGCAAGACACCCTTTTCAAATAGCAAGACACCATTTTCAAATAGCAAAATACCCTTTTCAAATAGCAAAACACCCTTTTCAAATAGCAAAACACCCTTTTCAAATAGCAAGACACCCTTTTCAAGTAGCAAAACACCCTTTTCAAACAGCAAAACACCCTTTCCAAATAGCAAAACACCCTTTTCAAATAGCAAAACACCCTTTTCAAATAGCAAGACACCCTTTTCAAATAGCAAAACTCCCTTTTCAAATAGCAAAACACCCTTTTCAAATAGCAAAACTCCCTTTTCAAACAACAAAACACCCTTTTCAAATAGCAAAACTCCCTTTTCAAATAGCAAAACACCCTTCAAATAGCAAAACTCCCTTTTCAAACAGCAAAACACCCTTTTCAAATAGCAAACCTCCCTTTTCAAACAGCAAAACACCCTTTTTGAATAGCAAAACTCCCTTTTCAAATAGCAAAACTCCCTTTTCAAATAGCAAAACTCCTGTTTCAAATAGCGAAACTCCCTTTTCAAATAGCAAAACTCCCTTTTCAAATAGCAAAACATAAATTTATGGGCGTTTATTACCGTGGTATTAAGACAACGATACGGGTCTGTTTTGTTTGTGTTTTGCTCATGAATTATTAAAGTATTGAGAACGAAATATGTTTTGTTTCCAAATTTTCTCAGACATGGTAAGCAGTGGTGGTCGTCTGAACCTCGCACCAGACTTTGACATTTGCGACAGCGAAGAACAATCTGCCTTGGAGCATGCGCTCTTGACAGCACAATATCGCTTGGCCGAGAGTATCTTGGAGGCTGGGGCGAATATCGACCTTCAGGATTCTCAAGGATGTAGTCTGATGTTGAAAACAATCCAACGTAAAGATGTGCCCAGTGCCTTGTTTTTGATCGAACATGGCGCTGATATCAATGTGAGGTGAGGAGGCAAATATGTTTGAATTTTGGGTCACTTAAATCATGCCGCGGTTTGTGTAAACGTGTCCCACGCTTCAGATATCTTCAAACCTACCATATCATACAGTATTACACTTTCCCTCAGTACATGCCATGCCATGCCATACCATACCATACCCAGGGTTCGTGCTTACTCCTTAAGTCCTTAAATACAACTTGACTTTTCAAGGGCGCTTGAAAAGCTCTTGAAATTTACAGTTTTAAAAACAACTCCTTAAATACTCCATGAATTCTTAAAAGGTTTTGCTAAATAGTAAGTGAAACCATAGTATTAACTTTTGTTAGTTGCCATAGGTATTCCGTGGTGCAAAAACCCGCGTTAGAAACAAATCGTTGATACAAATTCGTCAATATTACACCAAGTATTTCGTTTGGAAGCTACACTGGTCAATAAACCGTGGGCTCGATCTGGGTTCGATTTTCCCGCCATTTTCGATGTTTTCATTTTCGTTGAAAGAAAACATCTCAAACACTCCTTGAAAAGTAGTACTTTACTTCTTTAAAACTCCTTAGTTACTCCTTGAATTTGACCTTTCAAGACCAGCACGAACCTAGAAGTCGAACCGAGAAAAAAATTGGAAAGGACTTTGGGAAAGTCTAGCACGAACCCTGCATACCACATACCATACCATATGCCATGCCATACTATACTATATCTTAACATATAACATACGATACCATACCATACCATACTTCACCATACCATACCATACCATACCATACCATGATATGGTTTGGTATGGTAAGGTGTGGTATGGTATGGTATGGTACGCCATACCATACCATACCACACTTACCATACCATACCATATCATACCCTACTCTACCATACTATACCATACCATGCCATGCTACCATATCATACCATATCTTACCATACCATTCCATACCATATCATACCCTACTCTACCATACTATACCATACCATGCCATGCTATACCATGCCATATCATACCATATCTTACCATACCATTCCATCCCACACAAAAACTAATTTCAAAGAAACAGCACTCGATTGAACCACTAGATGTTTAATAACTAACCCTCTCTCTCAATCCAGAACAAAAGAAAACCAGTCAGTATTGCAGCTGGCAATCAGCCATCGCCTTCAACCGGTAGTAGACTCTCTATGTAAGAATGGTGCTGATCCTAATGTCGCTGATGAATACGGCAACTGTCCTCTTTGGACGGCAATGAAAAGCAAGCAGTTTGGAATTGCAGAAACTTTGGTAAGCGAAGGTGGGGTTAGGATATGGAAATAATTGCAGATGGTAGCACAGTTGTTAGTGAATGTGCTTTCCCTTTGTCACTGCGTCTGATTCCAGCAATATGCTCTATATGCAGTTGTCCGATTATAATTTTACCTCACTTGGGAGAAGAGTGCTTCCAGTTTGACTCTGCCAAACACTGCATATTTTCTCCTGCAGTAACAATGGGTTAATAAAAATCGAACTTGCTAGACATCTAAACGTTTACGGAAGTGTCTAGCAAAGTATTTATGAAGTATTTATTCTCGATAAGAACAAATGTGAATCAAATATACAATTGTATTTTTCAATTTTCAGGTGAGTCACGGATGCAATACGAACGTCTGGCACAAAGGACCAAATAATTGTATCCAGTCTCTTTTACATCGCGCGATCCACGAGAAAGATGAGGATGCGGGCTGTTTCGTAATCAAGTGTAAATGTGATATCAACAGGTTTGTGCTAAGCTAGACATAGTTCTCCCTAGAGGTCCAGAAAGAGTCCTCTTTTCTTGGTCCAATGTGTCTGCAGGAGGAAACCTAAACTAAACTAACTTTATTTATACTGGTTAGCTTTATCAGTTCTAAACTGTTCTTCCTAGACGTCCTGTAAGGATCATCTCTTATTGATCCAGTGTTACTACAGGAGGGAACCTAAACTAAACTAACTTTATTTATACTGGATAGCTCTATCAGTTCCACACTGTTCTTCCTAGAGGTCCAGTAAGAATCATCTCTTATTGATCTAGTGTTACTACAGGAGGAAACCTAAACTAAACTAACTTTATTTATACTGGATCGCTCTTTCAGTTCTAAACTGTTCTTCCTAGAGGTCCAGTAAGAGTCATCTCTTATTGATCCAGTGTTACTACAGGAGGAAACTTAAACTAAACTAACTTTATTTATACTGGATAGCTCTATCAGTTCTGAACTGTTTTCCCTAGAGGTCCAGTAAGGATCATCTCTTATTGATCCAGTGTTACTACAGGAGGAAACCTAAACTAAACTAACTTTATTTATACTGGATAGCTCTATCAGTTCTAAACTGTTCTCTCTAGAGGTCCAGTAAGGGTCATCTCTTATTGATCCAGTGTTACTACGGGAGGAAACCTAAACTAAACTAATCTTATTTATACTGGATAGCCCTATCAGTTCTAAACTATTCTCTCTAGAGGTCCAGTAAGGATCACGTCATCATAAAATTATTGTTAACTCTCGTTCTCGGTCCTAAAAACCCCCAGAAAAGGCTATTATTTTATTTATTATATTTATTCTATATTTTGAAAAATGTCAGCATTTTTGCAACTTCTTGAGAAGCTTACTACGAGTTTGTTATGAACACACTTCGAGACAAGATATGAAACATTTTTATGTGACTTTATTTCAAAATCTATTTCAGTCCACGTCGTCCCTCCACAGACGGAACAGGCGGAGTAGAAGCCTGGGATGGACTCACTCCTCTTCATTTAGCATGTATGGCTGGCTTGGATAAGATCGTGCAATTCTTGGTGCAAGAAAATGCTCAAGTCAATATTCAGGTACGAATCAAGTTTCAAAACAACCTTCTTTGCAAAATATATTTCTCTTTGTGGCAACAAATTCCAAAAGTAAACATTTCCTGTGTAAGATGCTTGTGATGTTACTCTGAGTGTATATCCACACCGGGCTGGCTTGAAAAATATGCCTGGCCAGGCATATCACAAGCATCTTATTCACCTGAGTACATTACACCAACACAGCAAATATCATTTCCTGTATAAGTCATAAATAAAACCGCATATGTAGATTTCAGAGAACATACGTGCCGCAAGACAAAGATTCCCTGCAAGATTGTAAGAAAATTTCCTGCAAGATGTAAAAACATTTCCACCAGATCAATAAGGGAGAACAATTTAGAACTGGTTGATCTTAGAGTTGTGAATGAAGTTACATTAGTTAAGTTTCGTCCTGTAGTAACACTGGATCAAACTGTTCTTTACAATCATTTCATTTATTTCCAGGACTCCGAGGGCCGAGGTCCAATACATGTCTCTATACTGAGTGGTCATCCTATTCCCACACAATTACTTCTGGGTCATCCTGAACTCAATCTCACATTAGAAGATCGCACTGGTCAAACACCATTTGCAGTTGCCTTGGATACGAAAGATCACAAATCTGCCGAGGCCATTCTGTCTAGAGAACCAAACGCTGCTGAAAGGGTATGTAGGGATTACTAATGTATGAATTAGGATATTTCTTGTTAATACCAAACCTTACCATACCATACCACATCACATCAAAAACACACCATACCCATACCGTACCATGTTAAAACATACCATACCACACTATACCCTTCCATTCTATTCTATACAACACCATGTCATACCACACCTTACATACCATGCCATACCATACCACCATACATACCATACCTTACCATACCATATCATGCCAGACCATTCCACACCATGCTATGACATACTAAACCTTATACTATGGACCACAATCCATCCATGGTAAATCTTCCATTATGAGCCGATCTAACATTTATTTTTTTATGTCCATACGTTGAATTTATTCTTTCCACAGTATGACAAGAAAGGTCGCAACTATCTTCATCGCGCGATACTCGGTGGTAATGTTGAGAAGGTTCTGTTCCTCATCAGTGTTAGCGCTAACATCCATATTCCAGTCCAAGATTCCAGTCTTATCACTCCGTTACACCTTGCAGTCCAGGCTGGCTCAGAAATCATCGTCAGGCATCTGGTAAACTAACTTTGTTTATACTGGATAGTTTTTGCCTTTCCTTATTAGTAAATTACTTTATTTATAATCAATGGATAACTCTATCAGTACTAATTACTGTAACTGTTCACCCTAGAGGTACAGTCAGAGAGAGTCAAGAGAGAACCTGCCGTGTTTGGTCATAGTTAACAGAAGAGATGGTTTGGAAACTCATTAGAATAACAATATAACGCATTATCTATGTTAGTCAACGTTTATTCATAAAGCTGGTCGTTCACTGTCACGTGCCTATTGTATTTTTGCCCAACTAACCAATAGCAATGTTTTAGGAAAGTTGCCTATCCATGACTCGAACAATGGGGTAAATTGGAAAATGCTATTGGTGAATTTGGGAAATAAAATACACACCTAACGGTGAAGGACCAGATTTATGAATAAACGTTGACTAACATAGATAATGAGTTATATGTTATTCTAATGAATTTCCAAACCATCTATATTAACTATGGTTTGGTAAGTCAAACTGGAAGCATTCTTCTCACATGTGACTGAGGTGAAATTATAATCTAACAACTGCACATCGCAGGAATGGAACCTCAGAGTCACAGAGATAAAAGATACATAGACTAAGAATTGTGGCACTAACACTCCTAATAGCATCTTGAACAACATTATTTGAGCCTGCACGTGTGAAATTGATTAGTACTTTATAATAATTTCTTGAATATTTTGAATATAGATCCTAGCAGGAGCAAATGTTAATGCGATGGACAAACACAAGAAGACGCCATTGCACGAGGCCGCTGATAATGACAGAGCGAACGTTTTAGCAATATTAATACAAAATGGCGTCAATGTCAGCGAAGTCGACAACAAGAACAACAACGGTATATATGGTTAAACTTCATTAAACAATTTTGGGCGTTTCACACGACTTAAACTAAACTAAACTAACTTTATTCTGAATAACTCTATCATAATTATCTATTTATGTATACTGTGTAAAGGCTAATTTACACTACACAATTTTTGCCTTAAACTGTCGCATGCAACCTGCTTACAATTTGAGTTGCACTATGTAAATCAAGCACATAACTCACTTACGACAACGTAAGCGGTGTAAGCAGGTTGCATGCGACAGTTTTAGGCAAACGTTTTGTAGTGTGAATTGACTTTGACTTTATCACTTCTCAACATTTTACCCAGAGGTCCCGTAAGAACTATGCTGTATTGTTCCGATGTTGCTGCAGGAGGAATCTGAAATACTCAGAAAAGACTTGCAGTGTTTCCTCGAGTCAGCACTCTTCTCATATTCCTCCTAAACAAAATTATAGTCAGAAAAATGTTCATTCCAGGAATCCAAGCCCGGCTACAGAGACATATAGCACCCGACATAAATGAAGACCAGTTCCAATACAGTAATTTTACAACCGCATAAGTAATCTGTTGTTTTATGTCCGAGTGCTTAACGTCTGCATGTATTCTACTTCAGCTCTTCATTTGGCTGTACAGCAAGGTCATATCAATTCAGTGAGAGAACTTCTAAGCGAGTCGTCAGTCGATGCCACTGCAGTCAACGCCAGGTATGTTTGAACTAAAACTGTGTATAAATTTTCGTTCGAAAATTCCCGATCTACTGAAAACTACAGTTGTACTCGAGCAATGTGCCCAAACTCTTGATCTGATATTTGTCCTTATGATCTTGAACAGTCTGCACCGGTGTAGGTGGCGCCAATAATAACAAAGCTTTGGATTGATAGGGATACAACTACCTGAAAAATACAAGGAGAACTTCGACGAGCCCCTCATCGGGAAGTTAAGTGGTCCTTCATTTGAAACATCGAAGTTCTCTTTGTATTTTTCAGGTAGTTGCATCCCTGTCAATCGACAGCTGTCTTCTTTGCCAATATACCTAGCAATGACATCGCTCTACTATATCTACAATATATGAAAGTGTGCAGTTAGAGCTGGATAACTGGGCTCTGTAGCTCGGTTAGAGCGCTGTATCAGAATCGCAGGGCATCAGGTTCGATTCCCGCCAGAGGGCCTGTAGATGCTCCTGGTTAGATGTAACATTGTATATAATCCATATACATGTGCAAAAAACATTTACATTCATGTTTAAGTAAGCACCTCTTCCATGACAAAATTTGTTTGTGTGTTTGTATACTGCTTTGTAATATCTGAATGTTATTTTCATTTTAAGAGGCCAGAATTCCCTCCATACATTAGCTCAATATGCGAAGGATAACGCTGGTGCCATTTTTGAAATCTTCCGTCAAAATCTGCCCAACTTTCCTATCAACTCCCTAGACGCCGAAGAGAATACAGGTAATAAACCTAAACTAAACTAACTTCATTTATACTGGATAACTTTATCAGTTCTAAACTGTTCTCCCTAGAGGTCCAGTAAGGTTCATCTCTTATTGATCCAGTGTTACTACAGGAGGAAACCTGAAATAAACTAACTTTATTTATACTGGATAGCTTTATCAGTTCTGAACTGTTCTTCCTAGAGGTCCAGTAAGGTTCATCTCTTATTGATCCAGTGTTACTACAGGAGGAAACCTGAACTAAACTAACTTCATTTATACTGGATAGCTCTATATCAGTTCTAAACTGTTCTCCCTAGAGTTCCAGTAAGGTTCATCTCTTATTGATCCAGTGTTACTACAGGAGGAAACCTAAACTAAACTAACTTCATTTATACTGGATAGTTCTATCAGTTCTAAACTGTTCTCCCCAGAGTTCCAGTAAGGTTCATCTCTTATTGATCCAGTGTTACTACAGGAGGAAACCTGAACTAAACTAACCCACTGTTACTGCATGAGAAATTCAAGAAGAAAGAGAAAAGGAGGTGTTTGGTAGAGTTAGACCGGAAGCACTCTTCTCACATCTAACTGAAGTGAAATTACAATCAGACAACAGCATATTGCAGGAATGGAACCACAATTTCAGAGGTGAAGGGAGCCAACATCAAACACAAACGTTTTTTACATTTTTTTTGCAAACTATTCTCCTTCATTTTCCCTAGCTCTTCTGCTGGCGTATCTCAATGGCAATGGCAGGCTATGTCGGGAACTGCTCAAAAATGGCAGCACGCTGTCCGCTGTCAATAAAAATGGAATTTCAATATTCAACGCTGAAGTCGCTTCCAAGAAACTTTTATTTTCATTATTAGGTAAGGATAATTCATATTATTAAAATTTGAAATTGGTAATTTCATTACTAATTTGGCCATAAAGAAGCGCCTTTTTTTCCACAAATACCAAAATTATTTTAAGCTGCCATGGTTTGTGCGTGAACTATAGGCGACTAGATGAAAAAATATTGAAAATATTTTCACGTTGGGAACGAAGGCATTCATGAGGAAGACAGTTTCTACTACTGACCTTACAACAAAGTCGAAAGAACCTTTTTGAGAAGGTTGTTGGGCTGTCATCCCGTGACGAAGGAGCAGCTTTGTTCTTAAATACTGTACCTACACTGCAGTTGCCAATAAGTATTCTTGATTAAATTATTTGTATAGATTTATTGAACGCCGAACCGCCTTGGTCAGATGGCAATTTCTGTCATGAATGTTCAATGAAATTTTCTGTCACCAACAGAAAGCATCACTGGTATGTTTTAAAAATTTTCAAACTAAACTAAAGTAATTTTATTTATACTGGATGCTTTATCAGTTCTAAACTGTTCTTCCTAGAGGTCCAGTAAGGATCATCTCTTATTGATCCTGTGTTACTACAGGAGGAAACCTAAACTAAACTAACTTTATTTATTTATACTGGATAGCTCTATCAGTTCTAAACTGTTCTTCCTAGAGGTCCAGTAAGGATCATCCCTTGTTGATCCAGTGTTACTACAGGAGGAAACCTAAACTAAACTAACTTTATTTATACTGGATAGCTTTATCAGTTCTAAACTGTTCTTCCTAGAGGTCCAGTAAAGATCATCTCGTTGATCCAGTGTTACTACAGGAGGAAACCTAAACTAAACTAACTTTATTTACACTGGATAGCTTTATCAGTTCTAAATTGTTCTTCCTAGAGGTCCAGTAAGAGTCATCTCTTATTGATCCAGTGTTACTACAGGAGGAAACCTGAACTAAACTAACTTTATTTATACTGGATAGCTCTATCCGTTCTAAACTGTTCTCCCTAGAGGTCTAGCAGTGTTACTACAGTGTTACTACAGGAGAAAACCGAAGACAACCTATGCTGTTTGGTTGAGTCAAGCTACACCAATATGCTATAAAATGTTTGGCCATTCCTTCAACAATGTTTCTCGTTCTATTTCAGTCGCCATTGTGGACGCTTACTCTGCGCAAAATGTTCCACGAAACAAATGCCAATTCTTAAGTATGAATTAACTAAACCTGTAAGAGTCTGTGAGGTCTGTTTTGACATGCTTAATAATGCAGGAACCAGCTTCTATTGAGCTTTTTAAACAAAATGAAACAGGGAATGAAACATGGCTCAACGCAATTGTCTTGTTTTGTACTAAATACTACTGTTATTTTGCAAAATTTTCGATCCAGTAAAGACACCGTGTTGCCTGTTGAGCGATTTTATGCCGTCATGTTAAGTCCAAAATTCAATCGAAGATTCGTTGTAAATTAGGCCAACTTTTATAACATAATGAGCCAATATAATATCACCACTCTTTTTGTACAAATGCGAAAAGCTTCAATACGTTCGTGAATTTTTTCGATCGATCTTTCAAGTTTCACGCCGACCTAAATCACATCGCTCAGCAGGTAGGGATGAAGATTCAAATTTACAGTTCGAAAAATTTGTAAATAAACGTAATGTTTTCTACAAAACAATTTCTATTTATCGCCTGGCAAAAGAGTAATAATAGCATAATAGCTCACTGAATTCAATAATATTTATTACCTGAATGATATTCAAATGTAAGGGCAATACAATAGGCAATAAGACTATAAGTGCATATTGGAAATATCAGTCTTATTTCTATGCGTGGTTGTTCTCGATCTGTTTACTACCGGTGTAAACACTTAAGGCATTGTAATTGATATCTAATTACCGCCATTTTTGGCTCACTTTTTATTCAAGAAATAATGGCCCTCTGCATTATATTTAGCATTGCATTCAGAGAGTCGCTTGCTTACGAGCTTTGCACTTACGAGAGTGATTCACCCTCCCCCCTGAAAATATTCAAAATGGCGGACGTGATTCAGAATTGTGATTCAGTGACCAGAATGTTTCGTTGTCCTTTTTCAATGTTTTTAAAACCCCTCCGTTCTTCGTGCCATCCAATCATTCATTATTTTGACATATATTTTTGAAAGGACAACTGATAATGGTTGAACAATAACGTTACTGGTCAGAAATGAACGAAATTTGAATTGAAAATATAAATTTGGTTATTGAATGAATATATACGCGTTTCAACTTGTTTGACCGTCGTGTAATTAGCGATGTTTGAGGACACTTTAGTTCACTCATTCATAAGATGTCGTAAGAGGTCTTATTTAGTATTACTATGAGACTTATCCGGTGATATTGGGCTTCTCCGTTGAGACATCACACCCAACCGTAGGGGGTTAACTTTAAGTTGACATCTATGGCAATGTTCGGTGCAATGAATGATTTGGGGGATTTTGTTTGGCTTTTGTTTTTCCGCTACTGTTGCCACTTTGTTGCTGTTTTGACGGCGGTGTTGTTTTTTTTATAAAGTTTATTGCGCTTGGGAGTCGGGACTACTTTATTTCATTCCGGTATATATTTCTAATGACGTGTATTGATCCTCAAATGCGGATATCTCAATGGTATTTCAAGTGCTGCTCATTGCAGAATGTTATATAATTTGAATAGAATTAATTGAGCCAAACTTTATATAGTTCTTTCTACAAGTTAAAAAAAGAATCTTAAATTAATTTCTTTTACGATTAGAACGCCATTTGTCTTTTGCCATTGTTCGGAGAACATTCGTATAACCTTCGTATATTGTCGTACCAAAATACTATCAAAAATATAGACTTACAAAGGCCATCTTTCTTTCAATTTAAGAAGTAAAGGATATTTTAACGATATATACATTTTATCTATCAGATTATTCGGAGACAATTACTTCCTAATTTGTAAGTATTTATATTTTTATTATGTTATATTTTTGTTATTCATGAGTTTCTAGTGCATACTAACTCTTTCTTTTCAATAGTTTTGAAGGCTGTTCTTGAAGATTATTCCCAAAGTCAAAACGCCAAAAACTTTTTGGTAAATATAGTTTGAAAGTAATTCTGGTGTTTATTATATAACATCCTGTGATCCTAACCAATTGACTTCGTTTGGAACGTCTTTTTCGAGTGGTAGTCATAAACTATGGGCCCTTACTGTCGAATACACTTGACCCCCTGGTCTGGAATAACAGACACAGGAGCGGCTGGCATCGGTCTGCTATTGACTATGCCGACCCCCGCGTTTGCGATACCTTTTTAGGAAGTTCAGACACAAACCACGGCAGCTTATTGTGGAATACTACCCACACTGGACCACCACGTTTGAAATATCTTTTTCAGATAGTTCAGACACAAACTATGACAGCTTATTGTAGAATACTACCTACACTAGACCACCACGTTTGATATATATTTTTCAGGTAGTTTAGACACAAACCACGACAGCTTAGTGTAGAATACTACCTACACTGGACCACCACGTTTGAGATATCTTTTTCAGGTAGTTCAGACACAAACCACGGCAGGCCAGTGTAGGTAGTATTCTACAATAAGCTGTCGTGGTTTGTGTCTGAACTACCTGAAAAAGATATCTACAATAAGCTCTCGACTCTCATGGTTTGTGTGTGAACTACCCAGAAACGCGAACGTGGGTCTAGTGAGTAGTGTAGGTAGTTCAGACACAAACTACGCTTATTGTAGAAGCGTCGCGTTGCCTGGAATCGCGGTGGGGGTGTCTGGACTTTACGTGGGGAACAATTTTTCCGGTTTCGATGAGGAAATGGCCAAGTATGACTTTCCATGAATGAAGGGAAATAGTTTATTTTTAATGTTTTACGAATACGACATAAGCCCCAGTGACACGATATTCGCTTTTTGCGACATCAACATACGCCCTTCAGGAACAATCTCAAGCCCACAAAATTCCCTCCTTTTACAGTTTTCGTTTTATTCTGCCGTATTATAGCAATTTGAAGTAAGATATTTCTGAAACCGTTAAATTTGATGTCGTGACAAGCGAACCCGTATCGTGTGACTGGTGTCTTAATCGCTGAACAAACAATGATGAGAGTTGGAGCACAGTATAGCAGGGTTCGTAGCGGTCTTTGAAATCCTTGAAAAGTCTTTAAATTTGAATGCAGGTCTTTAAGGTCTTTGAAAAGTCTTTGAAGTGTGAGAAAAAGCGAAGAAGGTCTTTAAAAGTCTTTAAATTTCTTAGTGATTATTTGATTATACGATTTCCTAGCTAATAAAATAGATTGATTGAAGCAAGATTTTCGCAAATATCGACGAAAAAGTGCATTTTAGGATGTGATTTGACGGGACTAATTACCTGGTAAAAATGGTGCTTATACATTGCAATTTTTCGACACCTGCATGATTGCTCTCAAAGGTCTTTGAAAAGTCTTTGACAATAGGCAGAAAAAATCTTTGAAAGTCTTTGAAATTTTTTGGTCTTGGAGACTACGAACCCTGTTTAGGGAAACAACAGTAGGGCCACTCAGCATCAAAAAGTGTCCATATATCATTTACTGGCTGCCAACCTGATTAACATATTGGCAGCCAGTAAACGGCAGCAGTTCACTATAAAATTGTATTCAGAATAAATGGTTTTGGCCGCGCCAGAAACCTGGGACTAGCTTAAAAAATTCCAACTTTTGTCTCCCCTGAGCGGCCCTACTGGTTGTCTCTCTCTACTGTGGTTGGCGGTTAAACATGAGAATTGCAACGCTCATCAGATCTCATCTTCGTTTGATTGTAGTACAAACACTTAAAGTAAAAGGTTTTTGTTTGCTTTTAGTGCTTTTAGAAAATGTTAATTAATTTATGGCGTTTATAACCAGCTGCATGCACACTTAAAATTAAAATCATGAAATTGCTGCATGTTTTAAATTTTTAATGAAATGCACTTTCCTTTTTTTTCCCTTTAGATTTTATCATCCCAAACTGTCGGCTTCAATACAAAGCTAAAGAGTCAAAGGTAGGCCTGAACTCGACTGGACTGGATTATTGGACTGGTAGACCGGACTTTTGGGATGTAAATGTAAATCTTTGTTATATAAACTGCGAACTTTTGCAGATGATACAACTACGTAAATACTCTGGTTGCCAGAGGTTCTGTATCTTTCGCCGGAATAAGGCGAAAGATACAGAACCTCTGGCAACCAGGGTACTACCTAAAAAACACGAGAAAAAAACAACTTTCGAGCGAAGGTCCTTTCCTCTGTTTGGCTACTGACACGTACGTCTTTTCATATCAATTGTATTTTATATTTTATATTTTATACGTTGTTTCAACAAGACTAATACAGGTTGTTCATAACAAGTTGCTACGAGCTTGTTGTCATCAACTTGTTAACAACTTGTTACGTGCAGACGATATCAAACTTGTTGGAACAACTTGCTGCGAGTCTGTTGGCCTCATCAACCCGTTGTTATAGATTTATCAACAACTGCAGCAGTTAGATATGTGCATACGCGTGCAATTATTATATATTATCAATTTATGTCGGGCAAATGCGTTGTTTTAATTCTTCCCTTATCAAGGGGCTCTCATATAGCAAATTCCGACAAATCGACAATTCCATTCCAGTTGACCAGCTGTTGATGAGTCCAGTACAGTGACTCTAGTCCAGGTCTATAGTTTTCATTCGAAATCCGCTTGGGCGGAGCGAAGCCACTAATAAATACGTTGTTGCAGGTCTGAAGTTAAGTCATTCCCCGCTGTGTCACAGAGTTGGTAAGAAGCAAATATTTATTGGCGCTGGTGCAAGACGGTATTTGGCGCGAAAAGTGAAGTCGAGTCGGTGAGTGTCTAAAGACTAATGACTGTAAGGTTTTGTTCTTAAATTTCTACTTGTGCTGTCGTTGTTTGTTTATGAATTACCGGAACTGAGATATCTCAAAAGCGGAGGTCCAGTGTAGAATTTAACATTTATAAGCTATCGTGGTTTGTGTTGCCGCATTTCTGGTTCAGTGTAAGTTGTTGTATTCTACATTAAACATGCACCCATAGTTAATTTAGATACACTGAGTATATCTAACAACAGAGACATGGAAAGGCTCTCCCAGAACAGTATTTGCCACTTGTGAAAAAAGACAAAAACAAGTAGTTTTCGGTGCATGAATAAATCAGATATTCTTGTATCATCAATTCCTGCTTGTATATAAATACAAGCTTCTTTTTAACCCTGACGATGGACGATCGTCAGTGAAAGCTTGTTCTTTATGTAGTTTTTACATTAATTTTTAATCAAGTTTTTAATGACAAGGCTAGAAGAAACATAAATTACGAATTTAAGACCGAGTCTTGGTGTTGTAATGTTTGCTCAGTGTTGAAACATGTTAAGACCTGTCGTGCAATGTTTTTTTTGAAAGAAGATGGTTTCTTAATCTTATCCAAACGTCTAACGTTGCGTTGTAAAAACTTCATCATTCTGTTCGAGAGTTAGGCAGGCTCGAATATACAAGTCATGTCCAAATGGCTCAGTTGCGTTAATTAAAAATAGTTTAAAGAAATAAACGAGTGGAGAGTATGCAGAGCTGTAGGATTTGTAAACAAAGGAGTCAGACAAAGAACACCATTTTTCTTGTCGTTCAGATATTGTAATGTGTTTTTACGACAGCTGTAAAGGGCGTATTGAATTAAGGTTTCCGTTAAAAATGAAACAATTTCATTATTCTAAAAACGTACTAAGTTTTTCAGGGAATATATTATTTTCATACGAAGTTCTTTACAAATTTGATTAAGATATTTTTGTGTGTGTTTTGATGTTATGTACTCAGGTGAATATAATGTTTTTGATGTTAATCTGAATGTATTTCCACACCGGGCAGGCTGAAAAGTTAGCCTCACCACGGTGGGAATTGAACCCGCGACCTTTGGGATATATAGAGTTATGACTATATAGCTTATGTTTATTTTTCCTACAACTGTCACAACTGTGCATGTGGTCTGCGAGACATATCCAATTTTGAAATAGCATTCATCAATTGTTGAATATACATGAGACAATTTTGTGTTTACATTTTCAATCTTATGTAAATAAAAGTTAAGCAGTCATTGAACTTTATACTGGCATTCATTTATATGGTTCAGTTCTTAAGGTAACTGGCTTTAGTAAAAACATTAAAGGTTTAAAATAAATGAGAAAAAAAAATGCTCGTTCATAATTGAATTTTATGACTTCGCAGATATGCATCGCTTAAATGAAAAAGAATGATAAAACAAGAATGACATGACAGCAAGAAAGAATCTATAGCAACAGAATAGATCGATAAATAAATCACTCTCAGTTTTGTAACTTGTTGAAACTTGTAGCTTTGTGTAGATCTTATCGTTCTCCTGGAATCCGCCCATGACATTCCAGAACATGCACTATTTGTAGTTGATTCTGCCGTGGCGGAGTACTTTAGATTAAGACATAAGAAAGAACTATATATATACTACCTCTGTATGATGTAACCATGCATGCTTAACTCAGCAGTGAGTTCTGTACAACATCAGATCACTTTAAGATAGCTCACATTCAAGAACATGTACTACCTCTGTACGATGTAACCATGCTTAACTCAGCAGTGAATTCTGTACAACATCAGATCATTTTAAGGTAGTTCACATTCAAGAACATGTACTACCTCTGTATGATCTAACCATGCTTAACTCAACAGTGAATTCTGTACAACATCGGGTCACTTTAAGGTAGCTCACATTCAAGAACATGTACTACCTCTGCATGATCTAACCATGCTCAACTCAGTGAGTTCTGTACAACATCAGATTACTTTAAGGTAGCTCACATTCAAGAACATGTACTACCTCTGTATGATGTAACCATGCTAATCCAGAGATAATTATAAACCTCTCACATGAGTGACGAGTGTATGACACGAAATTTATTGAATATATCTCGCATGCAATTAAAATGTCTCTACATGATCAAACAGATTAGCCTCCCAACAGATTATAAATCTCTTGGCAAATAGACTTCAATTAGTTCCCACGCTTCAAATAGTCAGTTAATTTATTTTAGCTTGATATTTGAATATCATGTATCGCTCACTGTGTGTGGCAACCCCTGGAGGAAACCTTTGAATTATAACTGTATAGTAACAAAGCTGTAACAAAGTTTCAACCATGGAAACATTGGTAGGCTATAAATTAAGCTATATATTGCATGAAATTAAGAAAAAAGTTCGATAAAGAACTAAGATTACAAAAGGTGGTCATAAATTGGAAACCTATTCCTCCCCCCCCCCCCCTGCAATATTTCGCGAATTATGCAACTCTTGTATTGACTTTACCAAAATAAGTTTTTCTAGCGGCAATTTAGTAATGGAATTTGTTTTGTCTCTGTTTTTTATCCACAGAGAGAGGTCGCTCACTTTCAGCCAATTAGTACTGCAGACTGATTAAGACTCTTTTATTCTCGAAAAGTGATTAAATTTTTTATTGAATTAGCATGTGTAGTGTCTAAACTAAACTAGCCTCCTACGCTGGCATTTCTATGGCTTTTTAAATTCCTGAGGGTATATCTAAATATTAGCATGGATAATAAAATAAATGGATAGGAATGGATAGCTGACGTGACCTAATGTTTTCAATGGGCTGATGGCGTGACTGGATGTTGAAACCTAGTTGCAAAACAAATTCTCAAAAACGGCATGTTTAGCAATAATACAGCTAAACATTTTAGTCAACGAGCAAATGAATATAACTACGCCATTCTACGATGAAATCTCTAAGTCAATTTTAGCAAATATTTCAAGCACTAAACAGTGAAAAATGCATCCCAAATTTCGTTAAAATTGGGGACGCCAATTTCGTAACTACAAATGTAAAAAAATGCAAAACAAAGACGAAAAACATTTACCTTGAATACTTTGTCGTGGCTTAGGCATGTTTTTAAAACAATTAGATCAGTTTACGCATCAATATTTACTCTTTTAAAGCGGCAAGTATAGCGAAACAACAAAAATGCCGAGAACTTTGCAATACGTGTGACGTCACAGATTGCAACTAGGTTTAGACTGTGACGTCAGCTAGAGTCCTATCCATTTATTTTATTATCCATGATATTAGCTGCATCATGTTTATCTTGGAATTAACAATCACTGAACTGCATGCAAGAATTTCTGTGCCATTTTCTGCTGGGGGCTACCCTGCGATACATTGGCCTCCCATCTATTGCAACTGCGCCAGTGTGTTTGAACAAAGAAAATACGTTGAATGAAATATATTCGTTCTTTTGAATGCCCGTCTCCAACATGGTCGCCGTGACGTCACATGACGTCAACACTGACTCGGCACATTCCAACATCAGTTGCAACATTACCACAGAGTACTTACATACAGAGGTCTTATTTCTGCGCGAAAACCGCCATATTCTTAGCAAGTCGCCTAAAGAGCGTCATTCACCCCCCCTGGAACATTACATTTCAATATGTTTTTAGGGGGTGGCGGACTGAAAAAATGCCTTACGCTAAATTAATCTGAAGTGAGATCTCTGTATGTAAGTACTCTGTGACATTACCATGCAAACATATGTTCAAATGAAATAGACCCAACGATATTGCATTCAACGGGCCTTTTCGTATGAACTCAAACACTGTAGAGCTCGTACATTCGAACTCCCTGCACACATCCTTAGTGCCTTGAGCCTTCAAGAGACACAACTGCTCAGAAGCCGACTCCTCCAGAATGGAGGTTTCCAAAGAACCAAGTAATTTCATCGTTGTGAAGACAAAAGAGATTGCTAAACGAAGCCAATAAAATCACTGTCCGGCAAAGCTTCGCATGCTTAATGTATTAATCGTTTTAGCACATATTTCCTCTACTATAAAAAGATTAAAAAAATTGTCATTCTGATAAGTACAGAATAAGTGACGAGTGATGCTACAGTGATGATGGCTTTCAATGGAAACTTGCAATCGGTTCAATAACGTCGCTGTTTCGTTCGTATATTGGGAGATGACCTTTTGATGTTGCAGCCCGTGACTTCTGAAACATGCGGTTTGTTTTGTGCATATTTTATGACCACCCGGACGAAACGTAGGGAATTCCTACGGTCTTGTTTCATTGTGTTCCGTGACCCCACGTGACCTTAGCATACCTGAATTTCGCACCTGTGAACACGAGCTACTTATAAATTGTGCGTGACAGTGTACGCTTTTGTACTTTGCGCGTGTTGTGGTTCAGAGCTAACAGTGGTTCGATTTTTTCTCATCTTTCCTCTTAGGAGTTGAATTCAAGCTTGTGTCAAGATGCATATCTATATTGGACTCCTCAGTTGCCTGGTCTGCATTTGTGCGGGTATGTCACCATGAATCGTTACCTTGATAACTGTAATAGACCATTTTATGGTAACTAGAATAAACTGTACTATAGGTCATCTGTTTCAAGACTTCAATATTTGTGGGCTTGCTTGAAGGATCGAAACATCCCAGCTACCTTCAAATTTCATACGAAAAGTTGTCGTTTGAAATGTCGAAATGCTATTATAATCTTCAGGGATTTAGGTTCTTCAACTTCTTCAACCAATCTACTATTTTCGAGTGGCACAGTGACCTTTTAGAAGCCGTACGCTTGACAACCGCGACCAACATTTACTCTTTAGTTCGTTTGTCTTTATTTAATATTGTGAATTTCTATATTGCTTTGCCTCTTCTATGCCCCAATCACTCATAGATTTAAAGCGTTCTTTGGTGTTTTTAGTCAAGTAGCAGATTACGTAAGCGACATACTGCTACATAGTAAGCGAAGTCATCCACCTCGTCTTACCAACGCCAACGGCAACGGAATTATTTTATAATATTGCATTGTCTTTTTTTTGTCATCTCATTCCTGCCTGAGTATCAGTCACAGTTTTAAAATTTTCAGCAATCTGAAAAGAACATATTATATGTAAAATATTTGCCAGTTTATATGGTGGGTGTTATGCAACTGGGTGTTTTTTTGTCTGGGTCTATCATAAATCCCCCCATGCTGGCCTTAAAAATATTTGTCAGAGTTTTGTCTTTTTAAAAATTCAAAGAGCTTCTTTCGCTTGATTCGATCGTTTGCCCATTCCAAGTTCATATAAAAAACATTTTGGTGGAAAAGATCTCGAGATGCTTCTCTCGAATTCAATGACAGATGATTTTGCAATTCAGCGCGATTGAAATTTGAGACAAGGTTAATCGTTTCTCCTCCGCAAAGCTACAAAGGGCTGAACATTGAAGATAATGCTCCATTGTGATCATTGAACCTAATAAAAAGTAATTTGAGCCTAATAAAAAATAATTCAAAGCCTTAGATTAAGTTCCTTTGAGCCGCTTAGATTAATTTCCTTAACTTCCTTTGTCTTTGAGTCTAAAGCGCTGTATGTAGTATTTAATATGTATGATTTAAGTGTTTCTGCTGGCGTAATTAGTATTTATATGAAATCTTCGAGACACAACAGATTGGATTTGCACGCTGTAATTAAGTTTCATAAATCAAGTCCACTGTTACGTTGAATTTCTCTATAAATATTAATTCATTTGGGAAACCTTGTCTCATCAATGAGAGGACGTGAGGAATGCTTAGACACAAACAACCTTTTAAGGCAAAACTTGCTAGGTTGTGACTCGTATTATCAGTTATCAACTTATCACAGTATTATTTAGCTGCGGGGTATATCTCTCTTTAATAGCGATACTGCCCTTAGCTTATGACGTAGGTTATGACGTGTTTTGCTGAGTCTGCCTGCTTAGCAGGCGGTATTAGCGGGCACGCACTCTCCTCCGCAGAGGCTTTTTTGTTTTCTTTGATTCCCTATTATCTCCAAATGTCCACGATGCCCCTTTTGAGATTCCCTATTATCTCCAAATGTCCACGATGCCCCTTTTGAGATTCCCTATTATCTCCAAATGACCACGATGCCCCCTTTTAACCTCGCGCGCTCGCTCCGCCCGCGTGCCCACTTCTCTGCCTAGCCCGCTACTGCCCGCAAACTCTATAGTCAAACTTTATATATAGAAAGAAAACAAACTACAATATAGAAAGAAAACAAACTACAAAGATCTACAAAGCCTCTGCGGAGGAGAGTGGCGGGCACGCGAAGCCGCAGGCGATTACTGAGTCGACTTGTCGCAGCGCGAGACTCGAAATAGCCTGGGGATCGAGTTTGCTCGAATGCTAGTCGATACGTATTAGCGAAACAGGTTTAAGAATTGGTAATGCGTCATGGTCGATGACTTTTCCTGTGTATTTATGCGTTGTATGTGCAATTGAAAAAATTGGGAGGAAACATTGTGGGGAATTTCAAATATACATTTATTAACTTATGTTACTTAACGAAAGGGTGTCATCCTCGTTCCCAGGGCCCCTCGGCCGTGTGACCGAGTGAAAATGGCTCTGGGGACGAGAATGAAAGGATGTATTAAAGAGAAATTTTACGCGAAAATTGAGTTGAGGTTCTGTTTTATTTTCTAGGGCAAAATTACTCTAATTGGGACTACAGTGGTAAGTAAACCAGTTCATCCTAGAGATATTTTTCTAACATTTTATATAGATCCACTGCACTGACGTCACAAATCCTTAGAGTGTCGTAAAACAACCACATACAGCGCAAAAATTAACCATTTTAATACAAAATTATCATAAACTTTTACAAAATTTGCCTTGTTTACAAAAGTTATATTATGCATAGATTGCTAATTTGTCCTCCAGATGCACCGGCGCTGTGACGTCATGTGCAATGGGCCTATTGTTTAGTAATGTCGAATACAAAAATGTAAGTAATTTTGTTTTTTGTCTTCGCCATTGTCGCCTGCCAAATTTACCTAAGTCTCTACTACTGAAATCCTGCAACTTGATATGCTACCACTTGTTTTTCATTTTTAGACCAGGGGGCGAACTGGGTGACGAAATTTAAATTGTGTGCAGGGACAAAACAGTCCCCAATTGACATCAAAGCGCCTACATGTGACGAAGGCTTAAATAACTCTATCACTTTTACCAACTATGATAAAACTGGTAGCAGCAAATTCACATTTGAAAATAACGGCCATAGTTTGGTGCTGAAGGCTCCTGGTCCCGATGCGAAGGTGACGTTGGGTAGCCTGGGTACTTTTAATTTTCATCAGTTGCATTTTCACTGGGGGAAAGATGATACGAAAGGTTCTGAGCATCTACATGACGGCAAAGTTTTTCCAGCAGAGGTAAAGGCAATATTGTTCTCTTGTGAAGACTTTTGAAGATGGAAGTTCGCGTGTAATTTTTATACATTTATTTAAACTTTTAAATAAATGTATATAATGTAATCTCTCTCATTCAGCAATTATCTAGCTTAATTCTTAGGTATTAGAACAGGTCCATCCAATCCGTACTCATCAGCCTTATGCCATTTCAGATGCATTTGGTTCACATTAATTCAAAGTACAGCACGTTCCAAGAAGCACAGCAGAATGCAGATGGTTTGGCAGTTTTTGGTGTTTTTATCAAAGTATGTATACCTCATGTTTTCTACTTATCGTTTGTTGTTCCGTATACAATAATTTTCCTAGATTAACTTCTTTAAAATCACATTTAGTTATTTGCCTAAGTGTCGATCCGTGAGTCGTTTCCATCATATGAAGATCGGCTGTTCATAATTTCTATATTCCCAAAAATACGAATGCATCTAAGTAATCAAGTTCAACTGTTTTGCGGAGATGCTTAGCTTTCCGAGAAAGACGAAGCTAAAGTTAACGTATGAATCGGGAAAAATCTTTATCCGATTTACAAACGTTGAATATATAAACTTCAAAAACTGATTCATGATTCATGATCATGAGGAAAACACAAAGAAAAATCATAAGCGCGTCGTATCTTTATGTGATAGAGATTTCCCTTGATTTACATAAACTTTAACTTTGATTTTCTCGACTTGCACAACGTATTTTTTGAAAATTACTTCGCCAATGAACTTACCAGATCGATTTTGAAGCAATTTAAAACATTCGTTTATCAGACCTAAAGAATATCTGATAAAACACTGCTTCTCATGTTTTAAAACAATACATTAAATTCTTTTGAATTTTTTTCATGAATTATTGCGTTTTTACAACTAATAATTCATGAGAATTTTCGTTTGACAGGTTGGACAAGCAGAAAACACAGCGTTCAACTTTTTGAGCTCCAGTCCCTCTCTCATTTATGAAGGTCAGTATTTCTTCTACTTTAACTTCCCAAGGTTGTCGTGATTGATTGGTTGCTTATAATGACCACCTACCCACTTACCTACCTACCTCCTTGTCTATCCACCTACCTTCCTGTTTATCCACCTACCTCCCTGTTTATCAACCTACCTCCCTGTCTATCAACCTAACTCCCTGTCTATCAACCTAACTCCCTGTCTAACACCCTACCTCCCTGTCTATCAACCTACCTCCCTGTATGTCTACCTACCTCCCTGCCTATCAACCTACCTCCCTGTTTACCCACCTACCTCCCTGTTTATCAACCTAACTCCCTGTTTATCAACCTACCTACCTGTCTATCAACCTAACTCCCTGTCTATCAACCTAACTCCCTGTCTAACACCCTACCTCCCTATCTATCCACCTACCTCCCTGTTTATCAACTTAACTCCCTGTCTAACATACCTACCTCCCAACTACACAAGTAAAATCACGTTGTTGCAGATCTGTGAACAAGTTGTAACAAGGTTGTTGTGAAGCCAATATCAGGATGTGTTCGCACTGCTTGTTCCCAGTTGTTGTGACAAGTCTGGAACAAGTTGTTATCACCTTGTTACAAGATTGATGATGGTAACAGACTTGCTACAAGTTGTTGTCCAAACAAGACCAATACAGGCTGTTCGTAACAAGTTGCTACGAGCTTGTTGTTATCAACTTGTTATCAACTTGTTAACAACTTGTTACGTGCAGATGATATCAGACTTGTTGGAACAACTTGTTGCGAGTCTGTTGGCTTCATCAACCTTGTTACAAGATGATAACAACTTGTTCCAGACTTGTCAACAACTGGGAACAAGCAGTGCAAATATTTTGTTGACAAGCTGTGAGGTACGCGTGTACTTTCTTCTCAACTCTTTACCTAACTATTTGCCTTCTCGCTTATTTCAGGAACAAAAGTGAACGTGACTCAATTTGCAATCAATACGCTGTTACCAACAGACCAGACGATCTTCTACAGATACAAAGGCTCTTTGACGTCGCCCACATGCGATGAAATCGTAACATGGACAGTTTTTGATCAACCAATTTCTCTTTCGGCGAGCCAGGTGCGTGGAAACATATTCTAGATAGTGTGGTTAGTTCTTGCTGAAAAGTGAAATCCAGCTGTACATGGAAGGGAACTGGGTAACAAGAAGTCTTTTAACACTCTGATGACAATATATTTCCTCGTTCATTTCAGCTTGCCCAATTCCGTATCGTTAAAGACAACCACAACAAAACGTTGGTGGACAACTTCCGCGTCGTTCAAAACCTGAATAATCGCACAATCACATACTGGAGTGAAGAAAAATGTGGATCTGGAGCTGTAGCCCTTGGAGCATCCATCTTTTCTGCCCTTTTCTCTTTGTTGCTTTTCGCATTATTATAAATACATGTTAGTTAAGACAGCGAATTATTTTGCTGAATTTAGGTATTTAAATGTCTTCCAGTGTTTGCATGCTAGGGCATTTTGTAGAATTTAGGTTATATTTGGATGCTATCACAATTTACTTTTGATCACATTCTGTAATACTCGAGACTTTCTCAAATGCACAGAACTATAACTCGCATGCTAATGAGCCTGGGAACGAGATAGCTTACGTTACAAAAGCTTGAAAAATATTGAAAAGCTTTTCGTTAATTAGGCACAGCTGCTTGTTAACGAAACACTAGATTAAACAAGCTCTTCATTTAGATAATGGCACATTAATATATTGTTTATTTGTAATCATAGTTTGATTAAAATTCCTCGCTACATAAGGTTTTTTCTTTTTATCTATTTTGTCTACAAGATTTCTTCATCAAATTAGTTTGTTGAACTAACATGTTTACGTCGAGTGCTGAACTCCGATTGTGTCACGTGTTATATTGTATTTTTTGAGGCTTAATTTTCTGTAAGATAAATAGTCTTTAAGTGTATGTCAGCCACGACTTCGGATTTGAAATCAATATTTTATCGATAGCATCTTGAGAAATGCCCTCATTGTAGCATCCGCTACTAGTAGTAAGTACTTACTAAATTTTTTTGAAATTGCGTTTGACTATCTACGTATTTGCATTATGCGCGTCTTGTATTTTAGAGCTGAGAGCGGTTTTGACGACATTACTCATCTTTTCCCCTTAGGAGTTGAATTCAAGCTTGTATCAAGATGCATATCTATATTGGAGTCTTCAGTTACTTGGTCTGTATCTGTGCGGGTATGTCCGATATCGCTTAAAAAGGACATTGGCAACCAAAATTTTTATTACTTATATCTATTAGGTATACTTACGGAATATTTAATTTCATATTTTGGCCGGTTTGTCGCGTTTAGTTGCTGAGAAAATTTGATTGAATTTGAGAAAATTTGAACAGTTGTCCGCCATTTTGAAAATAAGCGCGTATGCTAATTTATGCCACAAAAACATCTGACGTCATTGGCTGGGTAAACACAATCTCATGCTATAAACAATACCGTGTATTACCACGCGTAGTGCATTTTGAGCCAAAACAAAAGGCAGAAAAGTTTACCAAGTAAGTAACTTGTTTGTAACACTATTTCTCATAGTATATATCCTACTCCGTGTTAAATAAGCGCAGAAATTCGAGTGTAAAAAGGCAAATACTAATGCAATATTTTATGATCAATTACCTGCATTGTAAATTGCGCCATTTCTTGCTTTCCCAGTCGCTCGATATGTTTTTATCTGATAGTATAGACTTCTCTTGTTGGATTGCGAAGAGTGTTGGCCAGTATAACGCTCAAGACGACATATTTTCATTTGAAAACAACACTGTCACCCCTTCCTCCCAGCCAATGACGTCACAAAGTTCATTGACCTTCGAGATAATTTGGCGGCGAAACTGGCCGAAAAGTTGCATGCATTTTACTCGTAGACTAAAATGTTCAAGAAGGAAATGATAATATTTTCATAGTTCGGTTGTCAAGTAGGATTGAAATAGCCAATAAAAATTTTCGTTGCCAATGTCCTTTAAGGTCCAGACACACACACAGGACGCGATTCGACGACGCGATTTTTCGATTTCCACTGACGGATAACTTTGATACTAGTTTAAATTTTCCAAATATTTAGAAACGTTATAACATTTTGAGTTATTTGGTCTACATATCTTCCAAAATTTGCTCTCATTGGCTGTTATTAACTTTCAAAAACTAAAAAGTCCCGTCGCGTTGTCGAATCGCGTCCGGTGTGTCTGGACCTTAATTGATGATGATGATAAACTTTATTTAACCACGCTAACATTGTCAGCTAAAGCTGGTTTCCACAATGGGCGTGTGAACAAAAGTAAATTTACAAGAAAAAAAGATAAAGGTAGTAAGAAATTACATGCATATATGTGAAAAAGAAAATATACTAATATATAATATACGTTAATTTACTATTTACATTCATGCTTTAATAACAATGGGTAGCGATTATAACTTTGCTTATGGCAGGCAAGACAGACATTGGACGATAATTTCCAGCCAAATTACGCTTGCCATTCTTAAAAAGGGGGATTATTCTTGCAACTTTAAAGCCTTAAAATTAAAGCCTTAAAATTTCACCTTGGTAACTGTAATTGTCAACGTCTGCGTCACTATCCATTTTGCACCTTTTTAAATCAGGAAAAAAATTTTTGGATCAGGCCAAATTTTTTTAAGTCAAAGTTTGCTAAGTCAGGCTTAACCATGGTTGACTCAAGGATGTGAGTAACCGGTAGGCGTAGTACTAAAATTCGGGTAAGAAATAAGTTGCATACGGTTGATACTATGAAAGTTTATATGTCAAAATGTGCTTTCCAAGTTCTCCTACCCAAAACTTTCTACGTCACTATGCGTTTCTAGCCGGTCTGTGTCGAAAAAACTATTTTCGATCAGGCTGAAATTTTCAGTCAAAATCGAGTCAAAATTTGATCGAAATTATCTATGGCCCTTATCCATATGTCACTACAAATACGGATAAGGTGATGAAAGTTTTTCGGTCAAGATGTGGTTTAAAAATCCCCTGAGCCAAACATTTCTTCGTCACTAGGCGTTTCGAAACATTGCGCACGAAATGAAATCAGTCGTGCATGCGCAGTAATGATAATTAGGCTTCGCGAGAAAAAATTTCGCTTCCCCAGTGAGTAGAAGTCAGTTCTACTAGTCGTGATAGCGGAAGTCGGTTCTAGTCACTGTGAAAGCGAAAAAAGTGTGCAAATTCAATAGAATCACTCGTGTGCATCCATCCATATTTTGCAGACACAATTTCCGTTTACGACTTTACGGCAAACGTCAAACCGCTAACGAGTTTTTAATTTTACAACTCTATTATAACAGCTTTTACACCAGTTTTGAAGTATATTAAACAATTATTAAACTTGTACTCTTTAGCAATGATTTAAGAAAGCAAATTAACCACTAGTCACGTATTCACCAAAGCAATAAATTAAGATCTGGCGTTTGAAGTTGACGTTTGGCGTATAAATTTTATGCTTGAACTGCTAGGAGGGTTTACGCCAAACGTAAACTTCAAACGCTAAATCTTAATTTACTGCTTTGGTGAATATGTGACTTGGGTTAATTTGTTTCCTTGAATCATTGTTAAATATCACAAGTTTAATAATTGTTTAATGTATTTCAAAACTGGTGTAAAAGCTGTCATAATAGAGTTGTAAAATCAAAAACTTCGTTAGCGGTTTGACGTTTGCCGTAACGTCAAGCTAAAGGTCTCTTAGGCAGTGTTTACACTGTACCGTTTTCGTAGCGTTCTCGTATTGTTCTTAATCCTCAAGGGAACGCAAGACAATACACTCTAAAAACACTCTGGTTAAATTCAACCAGGAACTGGATCAATAAACTACCTAGCACATTCCTGGTTAAATTAACTGATTTCCTGGTTAAAAATTATTGATTCAACAAAAATCTGGCCATACTTCTTTGGACTTTTAACCAGGAAAATGGTTTAATTTTTTTAACCAGGATTGTGTAGGTGTATTTTTAACCCCATCCTGGTTGAATTAACCCAAATTTAACCAGAGTGTTTTTAGAGTGTAGCCTAGTTCTCTCGAACAAAACGAGAACGCTACGAAAACGGTACAGTGTAAACGCTGCCTAAAAGAGCTTTGTCTTGTGATTTCTCGGGTGGAACTAATCAGAAAAGACAAAGAGAAATTCCGCTCCGCCCACAAAATCCGCCTAGTGGAAAATGGCTATCACTCTGCTATTAGTATATTTTTAATGTTCTTCAGTTCTCTTCGGATAGTTCTCGGAAAGCTCGCTTTCGACTTCGCCCGCGTTATTTTTGTCCAGCACCCTATCCCGAACCCGATTACTATCCGAAGAGAACCGAAGAACCGATTGTAAATAGAATAAATATTTAAACCTCTGCGGAGAAGAGAGTACTGCCTATTGGACGATCACTTAATTATACCGTGACAGTGCAGAAATTAGCATAAACTCAGAGAAAAACAATGCAGTCCTAACGTTGGCAGACGTTGTATTTCAGAGCTGACAGTGGCTTGACCTAACAGATCTTTTCCTCTTAGGAGTTGAATTCAACGGCTTGTATCAAGATGCATGTCTATATTGGAGTCCTCAGTTGCCTAGTCTGCATTTGTGTGGGTATGTGACCATTATTAAATCGTTAGCTTGATAACTGTTATAGATCATTCTATCGTATTCGTAACTAACTTTATGCTGCCCATCCCTGATAGAGTAAACATCTCATACTCATGATCTGAGAAAAAACTCTGGTATTCCAAACCCAATATCACACACTAAAAGACATGAACAATCTTTTATTCCAAAAGCAATTGCTCTTTTAAATAAATATGAACCAAATTAGACGACAGATTATTCTATACACTAAAGGCTGATTTCCACTGTTGCGTTTTTCGTACGCACGTACACGCACGTAAAACTTTGAATCCTTCTATTTTTTAAATATTTTACAAATAAGTTAACAAATGCGTACTAAAACTTGCGGAACACTAAATTATGTTGCTTTATTTATTTGGTTATTTCATAAGTAACATTAAACGGATTTAAAGTTTTACGTGCGTATACGTACGTGTGAAAAACGCAACGGTGGAAATCAGCCTTAATTAAGGGCCGTTTCATACGCCGTACTTCAATCTGCCGAAACATTAGATTATAATGAGCTGAAATGCCTCATTACCTATTGTTTTTATTGTCTTGAAAGTATATTCGGCACATGTGAAGTACGGCGTATGAAACGGCCTAACAGACAGTCTACTGTATATTTTAACCATTTCTGCAGTTTCGTAAATATTACATTATTATTGTATACAATTCCATTTTACAGCTGTAAATCCGTTGCTAAATCCGTTAATTACTATTTAACTACAAAATAATGATTAGAAAAGTGATTAAGAGTTTTATACAACTGGCTCCAGGGTGTATCAGAAAAAAGTATAGGAACGGCTCTTAATTTCACAAATCCGTTCATGTCATGAATTTTTTGATAAATAGAGATTGTTTGGGTACGTATAATGTCGAATAAACAAAACATTTTCGTAAAGATAAATTTCCCAGAGCAGGGGAGAGGGGTGTGTCTTTTTTAGCATTAAAAATAGCTGGCGCGGGGATATTTAAAGGTGAAAACGCATTTTGAGTTCATGGGCGAGAAATTTGTTATGTGTTTTATCAATGGTCCAAATATCAGAAAATTTGCTCAATATTAAGTCCTTCAAATAGCTGCTGGAACATCAATGCCTATCACGCAGCTTAATTCATGCATTACCTAATTCGCATATTGTTTTTTCTGTGCTGGTGTTGTGTACTCAGGTGAATATGATGCGTGTGATGTATGCTCGCATAAACCCCGTTTACACGACCAATTTTTATGTGACAATTTTTATGTGACAATTTTTATGTGACAATTTTTATGTGACAATTTTTATTTGCTCGTGTAGACGAGGACAATTGGGCAATTTTTGTGCGGCAAATACAGTTGCTGAAAAACTAGCGTGTTAGCTTTTATGTGACAAATAAAAGTTGTCACATACGAAATATTGCTCGTGTAGATTACTTGTCACATAAAATGTCATATTTTTCTCCCGCCATATTTGTAAAAGTATATATAATTGTAGTTTTATTGCGCGAGATACCGTTGTTCATAGATATTTTTTAAGCAGCAATCAACAATTATTTGTTGTCTCATCTACACGACCAAATACATTTGTCACATAAAAATATGAAAAATTGTCACATAAAAATTGGTCGTGTTAATGGGGCTATATTGTTATTGCAAAAAAAGTAAAATAACAATATGCAAATTAAGTAGATACATGAATTAAGCATGCGTGATAGGCCAATATTGGTGCCAAAAAATGAAAGTAACAGCAGCTATTTGAAGGACTTAATATTGAGCAAATTTTCTGATATTTGGACCATAAAAAAACGAAGTGAAACAAAGAACTTAACTCATTAACATTAGGTTCGGCACATGAAAAGTTCTACGTTTGACCCTGGCCTTTCTCATGCCGCCATTTTCCGGTCGCATTTCAGCCGAAGTCTGCAAGATAAATCCACATAATTTAGGACGAATGATGGTAAATTGGCTTTGTAAATGGTTAGTTTATTTTGAAAAATTGCTTTTCACATTGTTTTAATTGTCTGTATCGGTTAACGAGAACTAGATGCCACTCAAAAATGGCGGATATTCGTCATCGCGAGAAAGGCTAATATCTGATGGACAGGTTGGCAACTCAAAAACATGGGTGTGGAAGCTGAACACGATTAAAGGAATACCGAATGTTTTCCGTGCAGGATTGCGTGATCCGTGCACGAGGGATGTCGCGAGACTTTCGGAAGCGTAAAAATGACATTTTGAGAATCCCGCGAAAATCCCGCGAAGGCATTTTAATTCCTCGTGCAGGATAGCCTGATCTTGCACGGCTATTGGCCAATCAAATTGCGTGGTTCACTATTTCTGGTGACCTGTGCCATAATGTTTATATATTTTAAAAAAATCGTGTAATGTTATTTTACTTGGCGGTGTATTTACTTGTTGTTGTTGTTGTAGTTATTATATAAATCATTAGTGAGCTTAAGCAAGTGACGTTTTGACGCACGAACGGCATGAGTAACGTCAGAAGACTGGTTCAAGGTCTGTGATTGGTGAAAAACGTCAACTTTACTTCCGGTCGACGTCCGTGTGGTCAAAAACGTCATCCGTCATCGATCGCGTCATCGTCACTATCCGTCATCGATCGCGGGAGGCAACGGCACGACGACGAAAGCCAATGGAGGCTCATGGGGGTACTTTTAGCGACAAAGCTCGATCGCAATGCAAATGAAGTCTTAAAATATGTAAAATTTGGTTGTTAGTGAAACAATTTAAATTTCGAGTTGTCGCGTGTAGCATCACCATAAATAAATAAATAAATAAATAAATAAATGTTATCAGTTCCACGAGGCACGACGTTTCTGATGTATTTAATAGGCAAAACAAACAAGGACAAAAATAATACGACATTTGTGGACGTTTATTACCATGACAACAACATACAAATCCTTCGAGTTTGCTGATGCATTATTAATGGTAGGTTCTGTTTTATTTTCAGCACATCCTCATAATCACACGTGGGACCACTATGGTACGTGAGTCAATTCAGAGATAGTTTTCTAACGTTTTCTTGTGAAAATCTCAGACATGACTTCTTCCCAGAACCATTGGCAATGGCGTAGTGGAGGAAAGGGGGGGGGGGCCCTTAGGCATATTTGGGGGGGGGGCGTTGTCATTGTTTGACTGAGATATTATATTTATGTACTACTTAAAACATGAGTAGGAGTGTTTTATGTCTGATAAAACACGACAACGAGTGTTTTGAATAGCTTAAAATACGACTGCAAAAGAATATTAATTAGGATGAACCATTATATAATGCCACATGCTTTATCAGATATAAAGTGACTCCACGTGACGTATTATGGCTGACATGATTTGCCACAAGGTTTATGAATTATTAATTATTTTAAATATTTATAGAATGTTCTGGAAAATTTCGTGTCTATAACAAAACAATAACAATCTTCAACACATGTAACAACTAATAAAAATAACTTTTGTTTTATTTGAGATGGAATAAGAAAATCGGCTACCATTGTCGATGGAGGCTTTATTATTTAGCATTATTAATTTTGCATTTTCCCATTGATTCTTAACCTGTATTTTGTAAGTTTTCTAATTTTCTGGGCGATAGGCCGTGTCTGATGGGGCCTCTAACTGTCGTGGGCCCTTAGTTTTTGAAGTAACCCTAACCCAATGAGCATTACGCCACTTACTATTGCCAGGATAGATCATTCTAGCTCATAGATATCTTGTATACACTGGATAGTGCATCTAATTATTCTGCAATTCAAAAATTGAAGCCGTGATTGCAGACTCAGGATATTCCCATGAAATGAGAAGATTCGCATGTTTTCTATTTCTCAAACAGGGAACTTAAACATTAAGTTATACCTATCCAAAATACATTTTCAAACTATTCAAATGATGAAAACTATTGTTGTTTTACTATTGTTGTTTTTTAAGCGTTTATTAGCGAGTGGGAACTACCAACATGGCCGCCATCTATTCAAATGGGGTATACCGCTGGAATATTCTTGGCTTCAATTTCACTAAGAGATGCTCTATCTAGTGTATATAAGATATCTATGTTCTAGCTAGTTTATAATGTGGTTAATTCGTGTTGTATTCATGTTCATCAACTTATACATGGTTTTCATTTTCTAGACCAAGGGAAAACCTGGCTGACGAAATTTGAAAAGTTTTGCGCTGGGAAGAAACAGTCCCCAATTAACATCAAAAACCCTCAATGTGACAAAGCCTTAAACGACTCTATCACTTTTATCAACTATGATAATGCTGGTCCCACCAAATTCCCATTTGAAAATAACGGCCATTGGTTAATAGTGCGGGCAGCTAGTACTACTGCGAAAATTAACTTGGGTGGCCCCATTACTTATAGATTTCATCAATTGCATTTTCACTGGGGGAAGGATGATACGAGAGGTTCCGAGCATCAACTTGACGGCGAAGTTTTTCCAGCAGCGGTATGGGACAATATTCTATTATATTTTATCCCAAAATTTTGAGTACATCACGGTACACGATAATTTTTTTTTGTATTTGAGCGAAAGTACATACAGTATTATTCGCTTCTCAATAGTATCTATTTTCCATCAAACCAGTAGAACTCGTTGCTAATAACAACCTCATCCGTTCTCATCTACCTTATTTTTATTGCAGATGCATTTGTATCATATTAATGAGAAATATACTTCGTTTCATGACGCACAGGACAAAAAAGACGGTTTTGCCATGTTGAGTTTTTTTGTCAAAGTATGTTAGTTCATGTTTTGCTGACGTCGTTTGTTACTTTGTTGTTGTTCCGTAGTTGTTCAAAGCTGTTGTTCAAAGCTAGATGAGCGTTATTACATCGTCTAGACAAGTTTCTGTTTTCCTTTGACAGATTGGAGATAAGAACCCTGCGTTTGATTTTTTGAACTTCACAACCCACAGCAAACTCATTGATCCAGGTCAGCATTTCTTAGTCTTCCTCTTCTGAGTCTTGACTGATTGGTTGCTTATAATTACCCACACACCCGGCCACTCAACTATAGACCCATCCACCCCCTATGTATCCACCCATTGAGCAACCCATCTACCTATCTACCTATCGATCATACCTATCTCCCACCTAACTACTTGCCTTCTCGCTTATTTCAGAAACAAAGGTGAACATCACTCAATTTGCACTCAATAAGCTGTTACCAAAAAACCTGACCGTCATCTACCGATATGAGGGCTCTATTACCAATCCCACATGTGATGAAAGCATACTATGGACAATTTTTGATCAGCCAGTTTATATTTCGAAGAGCCAGGTGCGTGGGACAGTGAGTACATTGTGGCTTAATAGTTCAACCAGAGTGGTATAATGTACAATATGTTTTCTCGTTCATTTCAGCTTGCTGAATTGCGGCGCCTTAAAGATCGCAACAACAAAACTTTGGTGGATAACTACCGCGCCGTACAGGATCTGAATGGGCGTAAAATCACATACTGGAGTGAGGCAAAATGTGGATCTAGAGATTCTGCAGCTACAGCTCTTGGAGCATCCATCTTTTCAGCCCTTTTCTCTTTGTTGCTTTTCACATTTATAAATGCATGCTAGTTGAGACAGCGAATTATTTCGCATACTTTATGTGTTGAATGTCTCCCAGTTTTGAGTTCATTGTTTGCATGATAGGGAAATTTTGTAGAATTTAGGTTATATTTGCATGCTATCACAAAAAATATACTCGAAAAAGGATAGCCAGAACTGTAATACACGCGTTATACTGTTATCAAAGCTTGAATAAAATTGAAGAGCTTTTCGTTAATTAGACACAGCTGCTTATTAACGACACACTAGATTAAACAAGCTCTTCATTTAGATAATGGCGTATTAGTAAATTGTTTATTTGTAATCATAGTTTGATTTAATACTGGGTTACATTATATAATTACTAGTGGGTTTTTTCTTTTTATCTATTTTGTTTACAAGATTTCTTCATCAAATTTATTTAGTTTGTTGAACTAACTTGTTCACGTCGAGTGCTGAACTCCGATTGTGTCACGTGGTTATATTGTATTTTTGAAGCTTAATGTAAGCTAAATTGTCTTTAAGTGTATGTCAGCCACGACTTCGGATTTGAAATCAATATTTTATCTATAGCATCCTGAGGAATGCCCTTTAGTAACAGTTTTGGAACAACTTGGTCAAAAATATGCGTAAAACCATGTCCACCATATTTCGTCAGTCTGTGAGTGGTGTGTATGTCGTGAGCGAACAGCAGACGCTCCCCATAGCCTTCGGAAATCAGGAGACTCGCTTTATCCATTCGTTGGGCATCGCTTGGGAAATCAATTTTGGGACCAAACTGATAATAGGATATCTCGATGCCAAAAAGATCATATTCTAAATATGTTCCATGTTTTGCAAACTCTAAAAGGTCTGCATCTTTTAACAAGGTTCGGTCGAGGTGGGCCATGACGGTGTGGCTTGTGTCCCCGCCGCCCTCTTGAAAGATTCGAAGTATTTCACCCGGGGCGGCGGGGTTTCGACCAGGATGGATCATGACTGGGGTTTGGGTCTGAGATTGTGCTATCGCTGCTGCTCGAATGCTGCGTTTTTCAACTTCTGTCAAAGGCCAAGAGCAACCAACTTCACCGATAATTCCAGGTTTGATGTTTGTGTTGTCAATGCCATTGTTGATTTCAGAAATGATTTTCTAGAATGAAAAATGAATTCAGAGTTTTGCAAGTGTGTTTTACAGTTATTTTTTATTGTAATGGTGGTGATGATAGTGGTGGTGATGATGGTGGTCATGATGGTGATAATGGTGATGGTAGTGGTGGTGATGGTGGTAATGATGATGGTGGTAGGGAAAATGGTGATGATAGTGGTGATGATGGTGGTCATGATGGTGATAATAATGATGATGGTGATGGTAGTGGTAGTAATGGTGATAATAGTGATGGTGGTAGGGATGATGGTGGTAGGGATGATAGTGGTAATGATGATGGTGATAATAGTGATGGTGGTAGGGATGATGGTGGTAGGGATGATAGTGGTGGTGATGATGGTGATAATAATGATGATGGTAATGGTGATAATGGTGATGATGGTGGTAGGGATGGTGGTAGGGATGATGGTGGTAGGGATGATAGTGATGATGGTGATAATAATGATGATGGTAGTGGTGGTAATAGTGATAATAGTGATGGTGATGATGGTGGTAGGGATGATGGTGGTAATGATGGTTGTGATGATAATGGTGGTGGTAATGATGGTGGTAGGGAGTATGGTGGTGGTGATGATAGTGATTACTGATAGTGGTGGTGGTGGTGATGATGGTGGAATTGATAAGAATGGTGATGATGCTAATCATGGTATAATGGTTGTGAATCATAAAACTGACATAACAGCAATATACCACCAAACATTAAACAATATACCGTATATAAACCTGTGTCATTTGTTCGACTGATTGTGCCTTCATTTCATCAATGAGTTGCCTCTCGACATAATACCCAGTCCCGCACACGATATTAACACCAGTCTGTTCAGAAATGATTTTCATTTTTTTAACATCCCTGGACAAGCCGAAACTTGAGTTCTCTACGATGGTTGAACCTCCTGCTTTCTTGAAAGATTTCAGATCATCGACAACCGCGTCAGTTTCGTTAGACAGAACCAGGTTGGGAATATGGCTGTACGGGTTATGTCGAATCCAGTTTAAATTCCCCAAGGTAAATGGACAATTCACCATATTCTGCTGAGCTTCCGATGTAGGGACGAGGTGTTTCATATAATCCATAGAAACATGCTCATGTGTTAGGGTCCTCTGTAACTCTTTTGGGTCAATTGGACCCAAAACAGTCTCAATTTTATCTTTAACCATTGTGATAAAAAATCAGGTCTTCCTATGTGCACAAAGGAAAATTCTAATATTTGCATAAATTAACATAATTTATGATAATTTTAATAAATAACTAATTTTCTGTATTATTTCTTTATATGCAAGCTTAATTTTGATCATTTGTATGCTTTTAAGTTAAACGGGAAACTGTAAATGCTATTTCAGCCATTACAAAGATGCACATTGAGCTGGTTTATGTTCAAAATTCAAAAAATTATTTATAATAATAAATACACTTGACATAAATTAGCATCCTAATGAGTAAAAAAATTAAAATGGCGTCGGAAAACAACAAAACGAACTATCATATATCCAGTTTATTACAAAAATTACAAAGTTTTTCTGTTTCCAGCGTTCAAAAAGCCTTGATTTCGTTGTCACGGGCTACAAGAAAGTCTGATAATGTTGTTAAATTGCGAGACGAAAGCGGTATTCATTTATTATTACCGTTTCTTCAATCGTCGAACAAGAAGGATTTAGACATGGCGGTGAGCGTGTTGGCAAATTGTGCTTTGGAAAAACAAAGTAGAAAGGAGGTAACTACTCTTATTTGAATTTTGTGAATTTTTATGTTAGAATCTACATAATAACGTTTAAAAGCTTTACTTTTGTTAGAATATTATGCATGAGTCAATTCCTGGAGCAACCATCCCCCCCCCCCCCGGGAATTCGCCTGATAGACAGTTCACGGGGGTTGGCTGTCATATATCATATGTGCACCAGGGCTGAGTATTGTTATAGTAGCTGAGACCCCCGGGATTTGACAAATGGTTTAACTTTTGCAAAAATTATTACCTGTGCCCATAGGCAGCCCAATCTCAGAATGTCCTATATATTTTGAATATTTAACCGTTAGCGTTTAATATAGTAATAATTCAAAAAGTATTAGCAGTATATGTAAAAAATATATCTAAGTTGTTAATAGGATGCATTAGTTATGTTTCTGAGTTTAGTTGATGCGATTGCTTTATGTTTTCGTCATACTTGGACGATTTTTCACTACTGGGAGGTCACAGGTCTATACCGGGAGACCCCAGGCTATGTCGGGAGAGTTGGCAGGTCTGGAATTATTTCATATTGTGAGGGTATTTAGGATCTCATATATGGCGCTTAATGTAAGGTGACACTTAATGGAGGGTACATTACAACCTTGTTCCCAGGCTTTTCCCTGGGAACGAGGTTGGGTACATTATATATTTTATTAAAACATGCTATACCTTTCTATTTTCATAGATCAAGCAGCTTAATGGCCTCGCTCTTTTGTGTAAGTTTTCAGAATGTAAAATATGCCTTAAAAAATACCTGTGGTTCTGGTTCCCGACCGACCCTATTTTTTTCTGCCGACCCTATTATTTTTTCAACATGATTGACTGTGCGACCCTATTTTCTCCAGGCGGTTGCGGGCTGCTGCCAAAATGGTGTTTGTTGTCAAATTATTTGTACAGTAATTATTGAAAAAACCGTGAAAACAATATTAAAAAAAAAATTATTTCCGACCTACCGACCCTAATTTTTTCGCGACATGAACCGGAACCAAAGGTATTTTTTGGGGCCTAAAATTGTAGGGGCTGTGTACCCCAGAAATATTTCCCTGTTAGGTGGGATAATGCATGCTGCTTGTCAGAATTTTGCTATTGTTTTAATTCCTTGTCTGATTTTTTCTGTTGAATCTTGACTGTGATAATTTATTGTTCTGTTTAGGTAACTTATTGGCTTCACTTGCAGACACCAGTATTCTAAGTCGTGTTACAAGAGCTCTGGCAAACCTGTCCCAAGATGTGACTATTGCCAATGAAATTGTAAACCTCGAAACACTGCCGAAACTTCTTGGAATTGTTAAAGAGTCCACCGATGTGCACTTACTCCAAAACACCTTACGCGCCATAAGAATAATGAGTGGAAGTTATGCGTGTCTAAAAGAGCTTGCGGAAGGGAACGGAATACTTAGTTTTGTAGAACTGCTACACAAGGAAAATGCCAATGCAGTTAAGTGTTCTTGTCTGCAAACCTTGCTTGAATTAACCAAAGCTGCTAATGGCGTTCTAGCAAGGCAAATGCAAGAACACGGTGTGATTGAAGTCGTCAGTCGGTTGTCATACTCGGATGACGAAGATATAGCAGAGAACTGTATCAATATTTTGTCTACCCTCACAAGGTATTCTACAGTCAGAGTTTCTGTTGGCACTATGGGTGGAATAGAGGCATTTATTAACCAAATACGGAACCGAGGTCCGCTGCTATTCCCATCTATTGAAGGCATCTGCATGTGCTGTCGTGAAGCCGTCAATCGTAACAAAGTCCGCTCTTGTGATGGACTTGAAGTTCTTCTTGACATATTACGCCGTCCTGAATGCTTACAAGTCTTTGATAATGTTTTGGGTGCTTTTGCGTGCTTTTCATACGATGATTTAGCGTTAAAACGTATGCTGGCAAGTGGTTTGATTCCTATTTTGGTCTCCATTCTCCAGAAACTGCTTTTCCCAGAGAGCACAATCAAAGATGGTACAGAAACAAAACAAAGATTTGCTTACAAAAAGTAATAAAACAACAGCTGTAACTACCCCCAAAAAGAATGCAACTTCTAAGTCATCTGATTCGGTAGCAACCCAGAACTCAAGTATAACAAGTGATTCAGCAAAGTCAGTAACCCTTCCCTTACCATTCTCGCGGGAAAAAAGCTATCCTACCTCCCCACCAAGCTGCATTTCCCCCAACCTTAGCCCTGAACTTCGAGTACCTTACATGTCTCCATGCAGCCCCGAATCAGTTCGTTCATCAAGTCCTATGGTTTATTCTCCATCAGGGTCCGAAGTTGATGATGATGTTTCATCCGAATCTAATGATGATCCTGAGCCGGATACAGTCGAAGATAGCAGGCCTGCTGCTGAGATTCCACAGCACCTTGCTGTTCCAAAATCCAATGAAGCGATAGAACCACTAACTTCTAATAACGTTACTATATCCAAAGACAGTACTGGCACCTCTAAAGAAGAGGTTGGAGAAGGGTCTCCTCCGAACAACGATTTAACAAACACTAATGCGAATGTGGTAAATACTTTGATGGACGATTTAGAAACAACTCATTCCGGACGTATGGCGACAGGTATTGAAGGAAAGTTTAACAAATTAGATGAAACAGATAGCCAACGTTGCCAACCATTACAGAATGAAGGTTCCTTTCCATATTGTGCCTCTGGAAGTGAAGCTAAAGTACCTCTCCTGCCTGGGACAAGTTTCAATGAACATCTTCACTTGTTCTTAAAAGATGAGAACCTATTCTCAGCAGATCAACCTTCTCCCAAGAAACGCTGCTGCCGTGCTATCGCAAGGTTTCCCTCGATGCTTAGATACAGGTACAGATACCGAGAATTATCTAAGCCTTCCTGGAGACCTGATCCGTTCCCTCGTGCACCGTCGAACTCGAGTGGGCTTCATGGCATTGAGAGTAAAATCATTTTCCTGCTCTCGCGTTTTGGACAGATGCCCGATGCGACCGATTCAGAAGCTCTAATGTCACCGGAATGTATTCAAACCCTACTGGACTATTTGTGTTACAGTAAGAATCCTGACTCGAGATGTAATCGCTTGTTAACCCGACTTGCTTGGGAAAGAAAGTTTTTTGAGACATTGATTGTCATCATGTTTCCAGGAGCCATCTGCAGACAGCTTATTTGTGGTTTGCGTCCAGGTTACCTGCTTTCTGAACATTCCAGTTCTGACATTGAATTTAGTAACAAAGTGACGGAGTCATCAGTTCGAACCCAAGAAACGTCTCGGATTACTACCCACTCCCTCGCGAGTGTTGAAGAACCTGCAGAAATTATGCCATTGAGCACTGGATCCCCCACATTCACAGAAACTGATTCTTCGAAGTTTACTAAAGGAAACGCTACACGTGATTCCAACCTTGACTCATATAGAATTGGTACCCCTCAGCAAGATAAATCTTCAACATCAGATAGCACGCAAACGTCCAGCGCTAAAAGAAGTGTTTCTGATGCAACTGAAAATAACCAAGTTGTATCCAAATCCTCTTTCCTATCGCCTTCAACACCTAAGAAGCAGGAAAAAGCCTTCATTGTTGATCCAGCTAAAGGGGGCACAATGACTACAGCGAATTCCTCACGGAACCATACTAAGGAAATTGGAAAATCCCTTTTATCAATCTTGACCACGCAAGGTTCCAATTCATTTGGGGAAGGTATTCTGGCACATCTTTTGCTCCGAGGTACACAAAAGCAAAAGGAAGCGTGTGCCTTGTCGCTGCCTTACGTATGCAAGTAAGTATAATAAAGCACACCAATTCATTGATAGTATTTTAGCATATAGGGGTTTTGCTCGATCAGCCGCCTTGCACTATTTACCTCGTAACAGAACAAACTGAAAATAAATTTCCAACGGTGCCTGACAAAGTGTCAGCTCCAAGTGATTGATGCCTGACACTGGACATTTTGTGTCTGACAAAAAATATTAACGCAATAGAGCAAATATAGTTTTTCGTGGTCCTTGAAATAAAAGAAGCCAACGAAAAGCTTAGTAATTAAACCACTAAAGTCAATTATGTCGTATATACGGAATTGAACAATCATAAATTTCACAGCATTTTCACAGGTATATTGTCTGAATATTCATTTGGATAAAAATTTGGACAGACACATAATTTTTAAATGCGGAATGCAAATATTTTGAAATAAAATGAAATTTTTATGCCAGTTGTAGACAGTTTCACTAATAGTTGTGTTAATATGCTGCCGGACAAACTGTCCGGCAATAAACCAGTTGCGCTGGATGATTACCTTTTCGTACCGGACAATGTCCGTGACATTGAAACTTGCGTGGTCGCATATTTTCAGACTTGAGTGTTTAGAGGTATTTAGATTTAAAACTATTTCCAATGAATAAAATTACTTGGTATAAATAAGTTTGTATAAATACTTAAGTTGGTATAAATGCTGTTACAAACTATTCTAATTACGGGAGCTGCAATACAAATTGTTTTAAAAATTATTATTTTTTTTGTTTCGTATGTGGTATACTATAACGCATGTGGTATATACCATGTCGGTGAACAGTGCAAGGATAATCACCTCCACTTCGGGGAATAATTGTTAATTAATTATGCAAACAATCTTTCTGCATGCCACTCTACCATCTTTTAAGAAATTTTATTTACGGTTTATTCACAGGCAATTACGAATAAAACGAAAACTACTGGTTGACTACAAAGGAATTATGGTCATCTTATCAATCTTGTGCAATTCCAGTGACCACGCTGACATTATACGCGCTGTCAACTCCATCACTTACCTTGTCGCAAATTCAGCTCTGAAGATGGACAATGACTTCAAAGTGTTCATTGCGAAAAACGAGAGCCAATTTCTGATACCCCCTGGATACAGAGTGGTAGATTTGCTTTCGACAAAAAAGTGGAAAGCTGGCAAAGGTTTCTCACCAACTGCATATCATGACGCGAGAATGACGCCCGGGGATTGTTTACGGACCGAATCCACATCTAAAGGCAATCATTCGGAAGGCGGACAGAAATTCGACGGTTGGACGGATAACGACGAAACATTTCCCGCCGTATTTTGGGAAACCGTCCGCTTGCGGAGAAAGAGAGATGTGTTCCATTCGATGATAAAGCAACGCGGCTTTAATTCTAAAAGACCACGGCATGCGATTGACGGCATCGCGTGTAAAAGAACAAAGGTGGAATCTGGTTCTACCAAGTTGAAAACTTTCTCTGGTAACTGCTGCTCTTACAACAGAACTCATTCTGTACCCTTTGATGTCGCGGTGAAGGTCGACACTGGGGAGTCTATTGAAGCTCACCGCTCTGTCTTATGTGCTTTTTCCGAAGTATTCGCGGCGATGTTGTCTACTAATTTCATCGAGGCAAGTCAATCAGAGGTTGTGATTAAAGATGTCAATCACGCCACCGTTTTGTTTCTTTTCCATTACGCGTATGGATGTAGTTGGTCCGTCAACCGTCGTTCCATTGCCTGTCCATTTTTCGAGCAATCTCTGTCTATTGACAATTCAAGAAGTGACCGTTTTGATTTTGATTTTCTACTGGACTTGCTGGCGTGTGCCGATCGATTTCTTTTGACTGGTCTCAAAAAGCAGTGTGAACAATTGATGAGGCATAGCCTGACTGGTGAACATGTTGCGGACACGTATTTAGCGGCAGTGTTCTACAACACACCCGGTTTGCGTGTTTTCGCGCTTCAGTATATTTTCCTGGCAGACTTGGAGTTGAACTGTGTGTACAATTGTGTGGTGAGGTTACTACAGTCTCAAGAAAGAGACAGGGTGATTGAAGATTTCAAGAACATTGCGTTAGATTGTTGTACGTAGACAGGGAACATACGTTCACATATTCCCATTGGTCAGGTCGATTGCAGGTGGTTTTTCGAGTCAGATCATATTAGTACCGCGTATTTTCCAACAACAATGATGTCGATCACCAAATAGACCTGTTCTCGAAACCCGAAAATTTAGCTTTTTACCGCACTTCCGGTTTTGAAAAAGCGTGAGTTTGAAAACATTTTTATGCAGAGATACTACAAGCTGTTTTATTTGAAACTTGGTAGTTGCAATAATTCACGTTTTTTGTGAATTCTACATTAGAAATCTGGTGAAACAATAGGTGTTCAAAACCGGAAGTGAGGTAAAATTGGGCATGTTGGGTGGTTTCGTCATATTGAGTTGGAGAATTAATGAATTATACCCTGCAGAGGTTTTTAGGTTTGGCGAATAAAGGTGAAGACAATACCCTCTGGCTTCCAGGGTAAATGAATTATAACTATAACTGACAAACTTGTGAAATATCACTTTTATTTAACAAGTAACTACAGTTAATATGTGAGATCAGTGTATCTTAAATTATTCCAAATTATACTGCATACATAATTACACATAATTTATATGATTATTCAAAACGGAAGTAAAGGACAGAAAACAAAATTTCCCCCGAAGAAAGCAACAATGGCTATACGTGAAGATATGGCGAAGTTTCAAATGCCAATATCGTCTCAAAATATTGAAAATCAGTTCTTGCAAGATGATAGAAGGCCTAAGAAGTCCAGTAGGTATGAATTGTTTTGGATTTCTACGTTTGATTGTTGCTGGATTAAAAAATAACTTGCAGTTTCATGGCGTTTAATATTTCACTAATTTGTGGTTTATATGTGTCTTATGATGTAATATATATTTGGAAAATTAGATATGTAAGGAAAAACAAATTTTGTATATTATCCAAAATAGTGGATTGTTTTTGCGTGATAAAGTTTAATGTATTTATTTGATATTCGATTGCTTACAATTTGATATTTACAGTTTGACTGTGAACCTAATTATTGAATTTTATCTCCTATAAATTGTTTCCGCAATTACTATTACTGAGTGTTAAAGATAGCCTTATTACTGTAAATATATTGTATGAAATACTACCCCAAATCCCACTTTAGGTAACTGCATTTATTTCAAGAAAGAATTATGATACTATTAAATAATATTATCTACATTCACCACAGAACTGAGCCACCCAAAAGCCACCCTGATAATTTCCAAATGCCTTTGACTGATAGCCAAACAAGTAAATAACTGTGTAACAAAATTAAGGGCAAGTTTATCACTTGCATCAATTTGAAAATAATACATATTCAGACTTCTGTTTGTGTCAATACTTTTAGGGAAGTTGAAATTCAAACTGACGTGTCGACGGTAAGGATGAGGTTTATCGCCTCTGCCTGTCAGGTTACGTAACTCTTTGTAGGCTGCCTAGAGTTAGTGTGGTTTATATTATAGACATGAGGCACAGACGCACAGTATCCATTTTCATATAGATATGTTTTCTTACAATTTATACAGCCAGCCAATCCATTCAATATGACGGCAAGAAACTTTCCAAAGAGACACAGGTAGGTAATTGTGTCAGGCATTGCATTGGCAGTTGTGTATTTTAATACAATACAACAGTAACTCCAAAAACAGTAAACATTTTGAAAAGTGTTTATTTGAGTGTTTTTTTAAATACTTAAATAAACTGTTTACCATTTTCAGAGTTACTATTGTATTGTAGGTAATTGTGTTTAGGAATGGATTCTGGTAGGATTCTGATTGGGTCTCCCCTTGACAAAAAAATCCCCAGGCATTTGATAGTTTGAGTAAATTTAGGGTTAAATTGTATTCAGGGATGAGCCGATTAATCGGTAAATAATCGGCAAAGCCGATTAATCGGCCGTTTTTTGAATAATCAGTAATCGGCCGATTATTGCTTGATAATCGGCAAATAATCGGCCATACGACTTTTTCTGCAGCTGCCAAGCACATGCTAAAATACTGTATACAAGTGAATAGATTTTCACATTTTGTTGCAAAACCCGTGTCTTTTGTCTCGAGTGAAGTGAAGCTGGGAACATTTCCACTGAAAAACACAGCAGACTAGCTCAGCATAGCTGACAATATCCTGTTTTACACAATAATCTGCCAAAACTAAACTTTGACTATTGACATGCAAGATTGAAGCTGTTTTCAATTGCACATAATGTGTATTTTAAACAATAAAACCGCATTTGCAACTTCATTGTTGGTCATCTTGTGATTTTTCGCTTGCTTTTTAAAATAATCGGCGGGTACCGATTAATCGGCCAATTAGTTACGATAATCGGCTTATAAATAATCGGCCTCAGTAGTCGGCAATTTTCCTTATCGGCTCATCCCTAATTGTATTCATGCATTCTACAGGTATATTAATATACCACTTAATTTTTGTAGGAATTATTTCCGAGCGAGTGCATCGAACAGAACCAGGTGGGTACATTCAATGAAACAGCCTGAGTGTCAGATAGATAGACTGAGTTTTATTGAGTTACTTGACAGGAAAACACTGAATTGCATGACTTTATAGTCAACATTTAAACTAGTTCCCATCAATGATATAATTAATGCAGATATTCATGAAGAAATTATTGTATTTTACTCACAGGGCAAGTTCATTCAGTCCAGGAAAAGCTCTTGATCTCGTAAGAGCTGCTTTGCAACCATCACTGAATGCAGAGCTTGAAAATGTTTTGAAAAATTATCAAGAGGTAGGAATACACCTAGGATGATTACGTTGAAACAATTCATTGGCATGACTAAACACGTACTGTATGAACGTTTGACAGAATTGTGCTAAACATTATTTGTTGTTCAACTAGCTTTTGAAACTCGCTGCTGCGAATATCCGAGACAACACAGGAGAAGTTGTTTCCGATGAACAAGTGAATGTTACAATACGAAAAGCATTAGACGAGGTACTGAATACTTTGCATTCACAGTCTTGTGTTCAAATATGCTTCATTTGCTGGCTATTATAGCTCACTGAGCCCCTCAATTGGTTGCTCAAACTAAGAAAAAACTGAACATGAAACAACTCTTTTGCTGTTTATTTAATTTCAGGCAAAAGTTCTCTTTCGAACTGACAACAAACCAGTCAATGATAAGGTATGCAAATCAGCTAAATTTTATACTCGACTGTGCAGTAAAATTTCACCATAATAAGTTGGATATGAAGGGACAATCTGTGGATATGAAGTCTTCAGCATAGGCACATGGTATCAACATAGCCTGGGTACGAAACAGTAAAGGCATGGTACAGAATGGTAAAGAAATGGAAAGGCAGGAGTGGGGAACAACCTTAAACCATTTTTTTTCTTTTGCAGCCTGAAAGAGAATCCAGAACTGGTTCACCATTTGTACGCAAGGTGAAAATCCTCTTGAAGAACTTTTAAAACAGGACGATTTAACACACTAGAACTAATTACAAGACGATGTAAAGTTATATACTAGGTTTGCACCTGTGGTGTCGTGGATTTTTAAATATAGTTTTGCGGGTTTTTTCACTGTAGAAAAGACGGCCAAGGGAAACGAAAGATGATGGTCCACCCGCAAAGAGCGCTCGTCCTGAGAAAAATATGCATTACGAGGTCTGTTTTTTCAAATACAATCTTGTATTATAAAGGCTACGTTTGCGCTGTACTAGATCGCTTTCCGTAGCGACATGAAAATACACCTATCTGGTACCTTTTAGGAACGCTATTTTCAGAGGAATTATTGCAACGGAGTGATGTTGTTTTGCTCAGCTTCTGAAAGTTGTACATTCCGTATCGGTTAGTGGTTCTTTCTGCGCCGCTGCGGAAAGCCATCTGGTATAATTCTAACGTGTCTTATGCTTGTGTTCAATGATTTTATGTTGTTTTATAGTGGAACCCAGACTGTATTAATTACGAGACGGAGTTTGTCATGGGAGTCAAAGCGAACAAGTATGTGTAAAACAGTCTCAAATTTAAATTTACAGACGCGGACATGACTCCAGACGCGGACATGCTGTGCCTTACGAAATTAGAAATTAATTGCGGCCCAGTGCTACGGCCAGATTGTGTTTTGAATCAGCTGTTTTTCTGTGCATTACATGTGGAAACCAATATACGCGAAACAAGACAGCTGTGATAAAAGAGAAATACAACAATTACTGTAAAAAAATAGTGAAATTCACACTAAGAAATTTGCCATTGCATCACTACTATCCACAGTATATCCATACTATTAAGGTTTTATATATATGGAATGGCTGCAAAGTATATTGAAGATTTACTTAACATTAAAAAGGAGGGAATTTATTCTTTACGAATTACGATCTAATGATAGTATAATGTTGGAGTTTCCTAGGGGGGAAATTTTACGATAATTTGGTGATCGCTACAACCATTATGAGTTTGTGTTCATTCTCTGGGAAGAAACATCCTCTGCGAGTAGGACTTCTTCTTCAGAATGCAATAAATATCTGATGTCCTCGCTAAAATTTCTTTTTAGAGCGCTTGGGTTTGCCGCCACGCGAGGAAAATTATATAGTCGTCATCCAGATCTGTTCAAGGTATTGAAACATACTAACTACTTATCCATGTACAAATTTATTAAGGATTATCGTCGTGATTTTATGTACTGTGTAAAAGAGAGGAGAACGCCCTGGAGACAAAGTTAAACCAACAGGGGTCGGTTGTTCAAAGCTGGGTTAGCTTAACCCTAGGTTAACCTAAAATTCAAAGCAAACTTCCTGACAGCTTGTTTATAAATTTGGAAATATTTCTTCAGAGATCTTGTCTGGATCGACAGGAGTCTACTTCTCTGAAGTTTTGAAATAAACAGACGTGCAGAAATACACAAACTAAAACAGCAGGTTAAATTTTAACCCAGGGTTAGCGCTAACCCACTTGTGAACAACCCGCCCCAGGTGTTTTAGGGCTAACAGCTATACTAAGGATCTACATGAGAAGATTTTTTGCTTTCTAAATTATTAGTACGTTGGTGATCAGGAAGACAAGCAATGGTTGTATGAAAATGGTCATCTTCCCATAACGGGAGGCAAGGTCAGTTTCATAAAGAAGCACTTCACTGGTAGAGTAGAGAAAAGCCTCCCAAATCTTGTGTATATTCAATGAAGTCTAAATCCTGTAAGGCTTAATCGACTCATTAGAGCTGCCTTGGTAATGAAACCATTTGGTATTGGATTCCAAATGCATTTTTTGATTTATTTATTGTTTTTCTGCTCTCGTAGGCATGCCTGATGATTAAAGACAATATTTACGATTTGTTGAAACGCGACGATTACAAGTGAGTGGAAAATTATTTGGTATAGACAAGCGATTTTATGAAATGCTGAAGCGTACTGACAATGTATTTGTGTATACCTGTTTTAGGAATAGCGAAAATACAAGTATTGAGGACATCCCAGGATTTCACGTTAGCAAACGTATGGTGGACAAAATGAAAGCCGTCATGCGAAGTATGAACTGAAATAATCCTAATGACTTTAGGGGTATTCTACGTGTCACAGTGATTACTACTGATAGAGCTATCCAGTATAAACAAACTTAGTTTAGTTTAGGTTTCCTCCTGTAGTGACACTGGATCAATAAAGTATGATCCTTACTGGACCCCTAGGGAGAACAGTTTAGAACTGATAGAGCTATCCAGTATAAACAAACTTAGTTTAGTTTAGGTTTCCTCCTGTAGTAACACTGGATCAATAAAATCTGATCCTTACTGGACCCCTAGGGAGAACAGTATAGAACTGATAGAGCTATCCAGTATAAATAAAGTTAGTTTAGTTTAGGTTTCCTCCTGTAGTGACACTGGATCAATAAGAGATGATCCTTACTGGATCTCTAGGGAGAACAGTTTAGAACTGATAGAGCTATCCAGTATAAATAAAGTTAGTTTAGTTTAGGTTTCCTCATGTAGTAACACTGGATCAATAAAGGATGACACTTGCTGGACCTCCAGGGAGAACAGTTTAGAATTGATAGAGCTATCCAGTATATTTAGCATTTACTTTCATTTTATTTGGGCCCGCAGTAATTGGCTTCAGGCTGTTGCGGATACCCAACCATCAACTCAGTTTATTTCTCAAGTTCATTAATAATTCATGAGCAATTCAGCCTATGATAATCACCTATTTGATCACAAGATGCCGTTTGGATACTTGATGAAAGTCACTAGTGTTTTCATCAAATATCTTAATTACGCATGCAAAATTACTTGATTAGAATTCCTAATTACGTTATGCTTGGTTAAGAATTCTATTCAAATCAGCAAACGAAAACATTCTGTTACGTCTCGATTCATTTGAGAAGCCATATAAACAACTCGAGCTCGTGTCTTACCGAGATATCCAAACACTCGAAAACAATGTATGAAAACACTCGCGCTTTGCGCTCGTGTTTTCATACATTGTTTTCTCGTGTTTGGATATCCCGGTGAAACACTCGCTCTCGTTGTTCATATATTACGTATGTATTACTATGTATGCGTGTGTGTGTGTATATTTCTGTACGTATACATGCAGTGGTGATGGAAAAGCAATTAAATTAAATTAAATTAAAATTTAATTTTGTTTACGTTTTCTTTTGTGGTAACACTGGATGATCATTTCATTAGACTATCTTATAATTCTCTCGATGTTGTTTTCATGATTTCAGAGAGTCAACTGAATCGGGAAAAAGAAATCAAGATCGAACCGAGCAATGGATTTGAAAAGACCGGAGACGAACCTCCAGTGAAATCCGAAATAGTTACCAGTATCTCGTTTGTTTCGCCTCACGTCCAAACTAGCTTAGTCGAAGCAGAATTAAATCATTAATCTCCAAATTAATTAATAAAGAAACTGTATGTCTGTATTTTAGTTGTAAAATATACGATGAGTTAAGTATATTGCATGAATATTATTTGTAGATATATTTTCAGGAATTTCTATATCGTGTAACATACAAGAGACAAATTTGGCTACCGTTTGTTCACACCCAGTTCTCAACTTTAATTTAATTTTAAAACTAGGCAGGGAGATGCAAATAAATCACCACAGCTAGAAAGAGCATGCTAGAATTAGTAAATGTGCAAAGTTTGATTGCGAAATGCTGTACAATGCGGAAAATATAACCTTGCAAAGTTCGCAAATTTTGTATACTTTTGTATTGCGTGCGGAAATTCCTACCACATTCCTACCACATTTAGGCCAAAAATGGTCGCACGCAATACAAAAGTATACAAAATTTGCGAACTTCGCAAGGCTATATTTTCCGCATTTTACAACATTTCGCAACCAAACTTTGCAAATTTACTAATTTTAGTATGCTCTTTCTAGCATCTAATTTATTTGCATCTCCTTGCCTAGTTTTAAAATTAGTCTATAATGGGAATTCGGTCTATTATCATTATTCTAGTTTACAGAAACATAGAATAGAACAAAGGTGACTAAGCTTCAGAATTATCTACATGAGTGAATGACTCTTATAATAACTCCAATGCTTAGTTGATTTGTTTTATTCTATACTATCTAAAGTTGTAAATTTGTCTATATGCATATATTGTTGCAAGCATTAATATAAAGACAATTTTTGAGACATTAAGTAACATTTTTGTTGCAACAGTGTTGCATGGTGTATGTCCGAAACATTTTTGTAACGTATTTCACTCGGTATTTCAGGGTTCAATCATATTTCAGTATTTAATACCAATAGCCTGCGCGCAGACTATCTAAACTGTAATCGTCGAACAGAAAGACTCAAAAGCTTGTAACTAGTCCTTGCCAAAATTTTTGCCTTTTGGTAACACAGAAAGTTTAATTCATTACCTAAAAAAATCAGTGAGACTTAACAATAACGCACCAGTATGCAGATTTGAGTCTTAACGTTATCGCGTTTCAAGCCTTATTGTATAGCAGAGCCATGAATTTGCGCCGCTCTATAAATTCCATATTCGAAATCTACGGTCTACAGGCTTTTTGTTAATACCTTACTCGTGTATACACAGGTCGAAAAAAATTGAGATTTCACAATATGCAGATTTGAGTCTTACGTGGGATTGCATTTCAAGCCCTGTATAGCAGAGCCATGAATTTGCCCCGCTCTATAAATTCCATATTCGCAATCTACGGTCTACAGGCTTTCTGTTGATGTCTTATTCTCGTATATAGAGGTCGTTTACGGACATGAAAATCGCAGGTTTTCGCAAAGTATAAACGACAAATTAAACAAATTACCGAATTCTAATTAGCATAACTGGCACACTTCTGGTTTGGGTGACCTATATTGATCTTCAATGATTGATAAAGTATCTAATTAGTATGCAAAATAAAGCAGCATGTTTTGACCGGCACTTCAAAATTACTATCAAAATTTCTTGTGAATTTTCAACAAGACAGGGCAGGTTAACGTGCTTTGGGCGTTGCTAAATCAGTTCAGTTCTTGCTCGTATCAAAACTGTGGAAATATTTCGCTTTTACGGTTTCTACCTGACCAGGGAGGGGTTTTATAATATATTTACGACAGCGAGCCGAACCCTTCCTGTCAAAACAGAACATCATAAACTGGTCATTTACTATCAGACATCGCACCGACAGGGAAGTAATATCGCTGCAGGAATAAACAAATATTCACGAGACGAGTTAAGCGAGGAACTGGAACGATTCTATGTCGATCAGGAATGGTTTGAACTATGATATGTGCTCGTTTATACAGAATTTTGCTCGAATATGCTTGTAAATAAACCTGACGAATGGGTTCGGATTGCTTTGCAAAGATTTCAAGTTCAGGTATATAATTTAAATGTGATTTAGCACCCTAAATTTACAAAATGAAAGTGATATATGTCCTATCATGACCACTCATAATATCGATAAGTATATTCTCTACAAGAATTACATGATATACTATGTTCGTATCGCTAAACGTTCAGGTATATTTCATGGCTAATTTTTTTTCTATATACTGATGGGAATATATAAAGATATAGTTTATAGTTTTCTCGACCCTCAATGTTAATTTTTTCGCTAATAACCTTTTGCTATAAGCTCTGTCAGTGATTAACTATGAATGTAACAGATTAGCTATTAGGTATTGAAATCTGTCAAGTGCTGCTATTTTAACGAAGGGGGAAATATTAAAGTACTGCTTTTTGAATATCATGTAGGGCAGTCGGGTAACAAAGCTAAGTCTTTGTTTATTATTTCGGATTTGTGGTTGTAAATGAGCTAATTTTGGTTAATTGTGAAGGCTCATGAAATAATCAACATGTTTGAGATTCTAAATTTGTGGCTGGTTAATAATTAATAGTGTGCATTTTATCATGAGTCTATTGCTCAAAAACATTTGCATTGTGAATTAGTCCTGATGCATTAAATACACGGATTAGAATTCTGGTAATCTTAATCAGGATATCCCTTATTCTTCTGGAATAACCAGGGAATAGTATCCAAGGGTCCAAGTATAACCATGCTCGCCCGTTATCTTATCAAAAGCGTCATTATCAACTGTTACTTAAGAGTTACTAGTGTTACTACAGGAGGAAATTGAAGTGCCCTGAGTCTGATGTTTGAGACAATTGACATAATGCACTTAAACCACCGCCCTACAGGTTGCAAAAATTCAACATTTTTTTGCTTTGTACTTCACGTGTACTCATAGATTATTACTGTGTACTTGAGGTGGTAAAAATGTGAGACTCAATGTGTACTTAGTCTTTAAGACAACATACTCAACATACAGTTTTTAACATAGTGCAAGGAGTTACAAAGTAGTACAATTTGCATGAAATACAAATGCATACAATTGACTCCATTACATTCCTTTATAGTCTCATTTTTTCTGATCAGTTAAGACATGTAGATCAGTTTACACATATAGCTACGTAATTATGGTTTTGAATTCCTTGAAAGGTTTGCTGATTGTATGATACCGTATTTAATTTAATTATAAGTTTAAAAAGGAAATAAAATATATTATAATATATGGACAATAAAAAATATGTGACTCCCACATACATACCTGAGTGGTACTTGGTTGGAAACAAAGAAATACCAGACCATAATATTGGCAGACCTCCAGTATGTACGTGCAATCATGCCCTGCCCTACCAACAGCTCATTGTTAACCCATTGAGTGGCAGCACTCTACCCTTGACAAGTACAATTGTCCAGCATTAGACAGAGTAAAATAATAAAGAAGGGTGCATCTGGGCACATTGCCACTTGAAGGGTTAACAGGATGCATGGGCAGATAGTTCAACCCGTTGCGTAGCAATGCTCTCTCCCCTTGATGAGTAAAATTGTTTGGCATTAGACATGATAAAATAATAAAGAAGGGCACATATGGGTTAAATAAGTTGTTAAATGCTGGATAACAGCAAGTTGCATTTAATTTGGAAGACATTGTTTTAAACATTTCTCAAAACTTCATTGTCTAGCTTCCGCATGAAAGAACACCTGAGCACAATGAATCAAAAGAAAGTATTGAGAAAATCCAGGAGACGCTCATCACTCTTAGTGAACAGAGATTTCCACTGGTCATGCAAGGATTGTCTAAATTGATCAAGGAACCTGCTTTTATTGTAAGTATACTAGTCTTGCACATGGTAACTGGTGCCGTCCTTTGAATAATATTTACAGCATTTAAACCTGACAACTTTCCATGTCATTTGAAAGCATTAACCTAGCTATTAATTAAATTAAATTCTCCTTCTTAATTTTAAATGCAGTTAAATGCAATTTAACTAAGTTAACAACAAAGAGCGCAGTTAGTGTGTTGTTTAGTATGGTCAGTGATTTCTGGCATACCAGCATGCGCATGGCGATAGTAGGTCAGCGGCTGTTAGTGTTTGAGCATGCGCAAACAACAGGCAAGCATTGTTCGGAAATCCTTCTAGACTTGGGTGCTTATTATGTGACAGGTTCTTGGGCCTGGTGTGGGGGCTCATGGCTGGGTTGCAGGGAACTGCAAGCCATGAGAGTGGTATGTTTGTCTGGGGGCTGGCTTTGGAAGTGGATTAAGCCCCTGGATGACCCAGGCACCCATTATCCACAAGCGATACAGTTGTTAATAATCTTTTATTCTGTTTGACACCTGGTCATTTTACTTGACAAAGTAGTACCCAATCAAGTTAACTAAAGTTACTTTCCTTGCCCTGGCCAGAACCACACCCTCTTGCTTTTACATAACCCACTGAGTGGCAGCACTCTGCCCTGTGATGAGTAAAATCATCAGATCATCAGGCATAAGACAGATAAAATAATAAAGAAGGGCACATTGATCAGGGCATATTGCCACTTAAAGAATTAATTTTACACTTGTCTCTCTAACGCAAGATGGTATTACTCATAAGAGAAGATGTTTGCAAATTAATGTATTAGTAACAACTGCGTTACCGGTATGTGAAATATTCTCTTAATTTGAAGTCATCAGTTTCACAGTAAGTGTCTATTGTTTACTTTTAGAACTCATTTTCATCAAATAAAAAGGACAAAATTGGAGAATCCAATGTTATCGTACTCAGCACCATAGAAAAATGCCTTTGCAAAGTAAGTTTTCTTTTGATTTTTACTTGATTATTAAAGTTTTAGAATATAAAATTGTGATAAAAAATATAAATTACGGTTATTAATTCTGGTTGAAGAGTATTAAATTATTTGAAATGTATATATATTAGTATCCAGAACAATGTTCCCGCCTTGAAGACGACGTCTTATCAAATCTTCTACCAAGTATAATACAGGTAAGAACAAGGCAATGATTGTTTACCCTCATGTCTTACAGTTAGAGTGCAATGGGGTGTACTACCTCAGTACCTCTGAGATCTCAGGGCCACCCTTCCCTCTGAAGAAGATATAACATGAACCAAAGTTTATCAATTGTAGTGCTCTGATCCCCCCAAGAAACCCCTCTTTCTATACATGCCAGTTGATGCACCCCCCAGCCTTGTTCATGGATGTCAGTTCATTCAATAACTTCATTTCTTTCTTTTTATTGCAGTATGTTTTACAAACATTTGATTTTCCTCACGCCCCTGAAGTTCAGAAGATGGCTGCAAAAATCGTCTCTCACATCAGCTCATTTCATTTCTCTGCAATATTCAATAAAGTTTCCTTCAGGTATTTATTTGAAGAAGAATTATTTTTACTCAATAATTGTCTTGGAAAATGCCCTCCCTACAATTACAGCAAGGAAATCTGTGCGGTGTTTGGCAGAGTCAAACTGGAAGCACTCTTCTCACATTGAGATACTGTAATCAAACAAATGCATATTGCAGGAATCAACCCTAGTTGATAACAGTGTAGATCACTGATTAGGCTTCCTGTTTAAATATTACATAATAATAATAAACTCTGCATGGTAGTAATATTGAAAGGCACATCAGTACAGTAACCACAGTGGTGTTGTTGTCAAAGCAAGCATTGTCTCTTCTCTCGCTTCTTGCTTCTCTCGCTTCTTGCTTCTCTCGCTATGGACTCATGTGAAAAGAGTCAGTCAACGCTCCGCCGAAAGACGTGGGTTTTCTCCGAAAGTTGATAGGGTGGGTTAGGATAAACACAGTTTAGAAAGTAATATCACAATTGTTATAAAGATAAAATAGTCTAGGCTAAGTAATTCATTAGGAAAGCGTAATACTTGATGTAAAGTGCATTTGATCATACCCAACATGTAAATATGCGCTATAGAAATGTTAATTGTAATTGCTCTGCCAACCACCCCAATCTAAGGCAATCTCCTGTTCCAGACTACATCAACTATCAAGTGTCGACGATGGCAACAACGACGTGAACTACCTCATTTTAATACGATATCTTAAACTTACATCGTCTTCACTTATGATCTTGTTGGAAGGTAAATGAATTTCTTGCGTTGAATTTTAGGAAGATTAAAAAGCTAAAATACCAGAACAGTTACTTGTGAATTGTGTTTTATTTAGAATGCCTTGATACATTTAAATCCCTAAAGAAACCCGCCAAGTTGGCGTTGATATCCTCGTTAGAAAAGGTACGTTTCCTTGCCCTTGATTTGATAACTATATAGCATGCACATTCTTGATTAGTTTCAGTTTGTGTCCTGTTAAATATCGCTTATGGCTAGACTGTACCAGCAGTTATTATAGCATGGCCTGAAGCCTTGGTCAAACTAGGATGAAAGAAAGATTTGATGGGTGTTCCAACTATGTTTTAACTTCAATAGAATACATGATAGTGTTGGGAAAGCATTAAGAACAGCTAACCAATTACCAAAGTCGCATGACAACTCTCATGCACCCTAGTTCTCGTTTCATCCGGACTTCAATATAGTAGTAAAGTATGGAAGGAAAGAGTTTGATAATCAAAGAAAGCGAAAATTAAGCGTATTGGAATTTGGAAAGCATAAATGACCCCAACAAAGAGTTTGAGGGTAGAAAAGAAGTGCCTGAATGAGGCAACATCGGGGGTTGTATACCGTGGCAATAATTTGCGCGTTCTTTCTTCAGGCAATATGGAACTGGATTAAACATAATGCTGAAGAATTTGCAAAATTTCAAAGATCACCTCCGAAAAAACTCTCCGGTAAAACACGACGACATTCTTCTGAATATTGTAATCTTTGGTGTTTTTATCTTCAAGATAGTAAACGATGGCGATGTTTTACTTTTTCAGAGCTATGTGACAACCTTTTCGAAATCTTGGTTTCTTTTGCCGAGAGTACAAAACGTAAAGCTGCCGTGTGGCCTTTGCAAATCATGCTGTTGATGCTCAGTCCGGTAAGTAGCATTGGGAATATTCACAGGTACCTGAAACTGATGTGAAATAATTATAATCAGAATAGAGGTGAAAATCTTATACACTAACCCACACTCCCTCAGCGTACCTGCAAACCTCGTCAAAGTACCACCCTAAAATAGTAAGGCGGAAGCGAAATGACGAGGAACTAAAGTCGGTTTTCCACATTGGTTTTCCATGACTAGCGAATTTTTTCGCGCGAAGCGACCTTTTTCCTTTGTCGGCATCCATTTTGCCACGTCTTGCTGACGTAATAAGTGATACCGACAAAGGAAAAAGGTTGCTTGATAGGGGATTCGAGGTACCTAGGATTTTAATGTCCTTATCCGAGAAGACGCGAAAGTCTAACCATTTACTGATGTCAATGTAAAGGTAGCTCTTTCTCCTCAATTATTTTAAGACCTTGAGTAGAGGTCCGACCAAGGACTGAACCCCGCTCTCCCAGCTTGAAAGACAAGCGTGACGACACCACAAGTGCTGGTATATAGAGAGCACGAAACGTGAGGATATTACTTTCGTGTTGCCTTGCTAAAACAGACGAACATGCATGGAAACGAGGCCATTGAAAGAAGAATGTAATAAATAGTAAGGTCAATTTATTTTATTTCAGGACACATTAGCGGCAGTTGCACCAGGCTTGAAACAGCAAGACGCGCATCTTGAAGTGAAGGTAATGTTGTTTTACTTCACGTTTACATCGATAATGATTTCTTAATATGATTGCGGGTCAGTCGTCAGAGGAAACGCCTTTCACTTCTGAGTTCGTGGGTTCGAATCTCGCTACGGACTCGTGTGAAAAGAATCTGTCAACGCTCTGCCGAAAGTCGTGGGTTTTCTCCGGCCCGTGCTCTGGTTTCCTCCCACAGGGAAAGTTGACAGGGTGGGTTAGGATAAACACAGTTAAGAAAAGTAATATCACAATGGACCATTCCCCAATTAACCAAAATTTTGATCTCAACAAGTCTAGACAAAATTTCATCACAGCATGAAAGAGCATCACAAAATTAGTAATATTCCAAAGTTTCGTTGCGAAATGTTGTAAAATGCGGATAATATAGCCTTGCGAAGTTTATAATTTTCAGTCATTTTGTAATACGCACAGAAGTGGTAACCATTTCCCATTTGTAATCTAAAATGACTGAAAATTGCAAACTTCGCAAGGCTATATCATCCGCATTTTACAACATTTCGCAACGAAACTTTGGAATATTACTAATTTTGTGATGCTCTTTCAAGCTGTGATGAAATTTTTGTCTAGACTTGTTGAGTACAAAATTTTGGTTAATTGGGGAATGGTCCATTGTTGTAAAGATAAAATAGTCTAGGCTAAGTATGTAATTAGGTAATCGTATAATACTTGATGTAAAGCGCGTTTGATCATTTCAACATGTAAATATGCGCTGTAGAAATGCGAATCGTAATTGTATGGACAAACGAGAGTGGGAGTTGACGACAGTTGAGAAGCGAGAGTTTGCATAAGAGTTTTCACATAGAAAGCCCAAGATTATGATTCGTTTGCGATTTTGTATTTATTCAATATTCATCGACCGTTTCTTCTGACAGCGAGAGTTTCTCGAGAATTTGAAGACGGCGCTGACCAGCGCGAAGGCTCTCACAGAAAGTTCCGCTATTGCTTGCGTCAAGTTGTGTAAATGTTCGACATATATGAAACCCGAGGATAATTCTGTACTTTGCTTTCTCGTCGTCACTGTCATGAACGAACTCAAGGTACGTATATGAAGAATAGAGAGGTTAAGATACCCCGGTTTCGGTGTACGGGTACGAGTAGTGTCATCTTGTTTTACTGATGTCTGTAATTCGATCATACCTTTTCTGTTTTCTTGCAATAGACAATGATATAATGCGAAAAATGTGCACCTTAATTACGAGTAAAGCTACAGACATCGACGAAAATATTGCTAACCAAAATCATGCTACTCGTACCCGCACACCGAAACCGGGGTATCTTAACCTCTCTGATATCAGAAACATACACTAGTATGACGGAGCTTCGGTGGCGAAGTGGTTAGCATGAGGACTTTCCCAATGCGACTCGAACCCAGTCCTCATGTGAAAAGAGTAAAAGTCAACGCTCTGCCGAAAGTCGTGGGTTTTCCCCGGGTACCCCGGTTTCCTCCCACAGGGAAAGTTGACAGGGTGGGTTAGGTAAAAAGGGCCCACAGTAATTGACATATGCTGTTGTGGTGACCCTACCCTAGTTGGCAAAGCTAAAGAAAGAAAGAAATAAATAAAGTATGTCAATATATGATGGTCTGGAAGCTAAACACAAGTCATGGTGTTATGTTTTGTCTGAGTTTATGTTAATTTGTGTACGCGGTCAATGTGATTGTGCTCAGATAATCCCTAGTTACTGTACGTTAACTTTATTCTTTGGTTTTTAGGCGCTTCTCTTCAACATCTGTAAACCATTCACCATGATATCACAGAGCACGATTCCAGTTGAAACATTGATGGTCGATTGTTTCGTCTCCAGTTTTCGATTAAATTATCGCAACAGCCAACCTTTTGCCGACTGTTTGTTACCCACAGCCCCTGTTTTATTCAGTGTTGTTTATGTCAAAGGATTGTACACTATAGTCAGACAGGTAGAGCTTGCTTTAAAAATCATTATATATTTAACAAATATAAAACATTTTCCGTGTTGATATCGTGCTTAAAAGACGACCCATCTTATGAGTTCATTGGGGAAGTAATTTGTTTTTTAAATAAACATTATAAACATTGTCTAAGCCGAGAAAATCAAAACTGAAGTTTATGTAAATCAGACAAATCTTTATCCGATTTACAAACATGAATTATTAATTGTTTTTTATAAATTATTAGAAACCACTTTACTGGTGGCCGACGCTGAAAGTGATGTACTCCAAAGCCGAGTCTATTCGCAATTTATTCGAGGTATACATAAACATAAAACAACTGGTGCAATTTGAAATCGATAGATTATTGAACTCGTCATTACATTTCTTGTAGAGAACGTTAGAGAAATTTCGCGGCCTAGAAAACAGTCATGGTGCTTCGAGAATGAGCGTGGTTAGTCTTTCTTAAATCTTGAAACACTTTCCAAGTATAAATAGTTTACGTTAAATTTAAAGGGTTTTTCATTTGGTGGTATACTAAACGGTTGTCATTGTTGATATTTCTCGCAGCTTTACAAAGGAAAGGAAAAGCGAAGCAAGGAGGAAGAAGTAGGGGCGTTGAAAGCCGAGAAGGAACTTCTACTTTGGCTTGTTCGTCTCTTCAGAATGGAGCCTGCGTTCGCTTTTTCCGTGAGTATACGCTGTTCGAACCATATAGTCAATAGAATAAGAAGGTCAGGGAACTCGATGCAGATATAATAGACATCATTATCTTTGTCTTGGTTTATGCAAGAAATGGACGGTTCGTGGCGACGTGTGTTGTATTTTCGCTAGAGCAACCAATAGGTTTTCATTTAACCATTCATCAGTAGATAGGAATATATCCATTTCCCAATGCTACAATGACTTTGTACATAAATATCTACGATGTTATTTTATGTGAACTTGTCTACAGGAATGATATACAACAAAGAGGACGTATACACTTCATGTAACACAGTACATATGGGATCGTCTCCAGTTTACTATATAATTATCTATCTCCCCCCAAGTTTTTATGAAGGTTGGGAGAGCCAGTTCGTAAAAACTAAACTTGTAATAAATATGAAATATATACATGCAATACGAGGTATGGATTGCAGTTAAGTAGGTCACAGTTCTTTGAGTCCTTTCTTGTTGAAGTCCATCAGTCTACGGAGGGCAAGGGGTTGTTTTTCACTTGTTGGGGTTGGCGGCTGGGTGCTGGGTTGTAGGGGCTCTGGTGGGGAAGGTGGTGTATGCGGTTGGATTCGGCCAGCTGTTGGGTCAGAGTTTGATGGGGTATGTGGTGGAGTTGGGAGACGTTTGTGGTGGGAAATTGGTTTGTATCGGAGGTCGTCTGTGATGGTGTGTCGTGGTGGTGGTGGGTGTACTGGGATGAATTTGCGGAGGAATTTCCTGTTACGAATGATCATTCTTCCAGAGCCATCGACACGTACAACATACTGGTCAAACTGGCGGACTTCGGCGACTCGTCCGGTTTTATCCCATTTGGTTGGGTGGGGGCCAATCTGATTTTGAATTCTTACGTGGTCACCTACAACGAGTGGAGGGAGTCTTTTGGTATGTTCGGTCCATCGTTCAGCGGATCGCACATGTCTGTTGCGTAGTGCTTCTTCACGAGCAGCTAATGTGTCTTTCCAGGTGGGGTGGGGTTGGTATCGTCCGGGCAATATAGGAATAAAATCCTTGATTGGTCTTCCAAATATACACTGTGCGGGAGAGAGCTTTGTTTCAGGGTCAGGTGTATTTCTGTATTGAAGTATGGCACGTTGTAAATTGTCCGTGTCCAGGCTGCCATTGGGGCTTGTGTTGTTGGTAATGAGCCGTTTTACAGTTTTTACGCCAACTTCTGCCCGGCAGTTTGAGTGGGGGTACGCAACTGAGGATAAACGGTGGTGGACGCCCCAATTTTTTAAAAACTGTTGGGTTAATGCTGAGGTGAACTCGGGTCCGCCGTCAGTTGCCAGGTCGTCTGGAATACCAAAGGTGCTAAAGGTACGACGTAGGCAGTCAATGAGGCCTTTTGCTCCATCGCGAGCTCTTTCTATGATCGGCCAGTTAGAGTATCGGTCGACTATCACAAGGTAGTTCATGCCTTTGTAGTGGAAGAAGTCGGCACACAGCGATTGAAAAGGATAGCTAGGTGGGGTGGTGGCTGATGGTGGAGCACTGGGCTGTGATGGTGCCATTCTATTACAGTGGTTGCATGATTCTCGTAATGCTCGGATGGCTGGGGTGATGCCGGGCCAAAAGACTGTCGACTCGGCTCTGGAGGTCATGGATGTGACACCTTGGTGGGCTGAGTGGAGTGTGGATAAGACATGATGTCGAAGTGAGGGTGGTATCACAATGCGTTCTTTGTACAGGATAACACCATCGATTGTGTGCAAGTGGTCATGGAATTGGTAGTATTCTTGTAGATCACTGGGGAGTTGGTGACGGAATGCGGGAAAGCCTGTTGCAATAATGGAAAGGAGTTTCTCCATGTTGTTGTCGCTGGCTGTGGCTTCTTTCACGCGATCCCAGGTTATTGCCATGGTGTGGATTGATGCTGCTACTGAGGGAAGAGTTTCGTCTTCAAGGTTAGGGGGTAATAACGTAGGGTGGGATGTATTAGAACGTATGCCAGCAAGGAGTGGGTGTCCGAAGGGTATGAAGGGAGGGGGTAGTGTGTTGCATGAATCGTTCATGGTGGCAACATCATCTGGGATGGGAAGGGCTTCGGGGTTACGAGGTCCGGTTGGGTGTCGTGACATTGCGTCTGCGGCCTTATGCTTGATACCGGGGATGTGGATCATTTGAAAGCGGTAGCGGAGGGTTTTCTCTTTCAGGTTGCGTAGCCGTACGTTAGAGATATCTTCTAGGCACCGGTCACCAAGGACCTTCAGTAATGGTTTATGATCAACAGCGACGATCAATTTCTCACAGCCCAAAACGAAGAAGCGAGCTTTATCTAGTGCGTCGGCAACAGCTAGGGCCTCTCCTTCTATGGGGGCATATCTGGACTCTGCAGCATGGGTGAAGCGGCTGCCTACGAGGGTTATTTTCCAACCAGTGCGGCAACAGAATGGTTTGGTGGAGGCACAATTGCAGTGTTTTTGAAATAACCAAAAGCCGATGCCAGTCTTTGACCAGTCGGTGGCTAAGCAAGTAGGTTTAGATTTGTCATATATGCGTACACCATTCTCGATTTCACTGATGATAACCGCCTTGGATTCCTCAAAAAGTTCATTCAGTTCTTCAGTCCAAGTGAACGATGATCCAGGTTTAAGGGCTTCTCTGAAGGGGAGCATGTGTTCTGCTGAGGCAAATGCGTAGGAAACTTGATTAATAAGCCCAAACCAGGAGCGCATGTCCGTGATGTTGTTTGGCTTGGGGAATTTGCGAATAGCATCTAGGTACTGTTGGCAGGGTCGTACATTGTCTGGTGTGATCTCAAAGCCAGCAAATGAGACAGTGTCCTGACAAAAAACAAACTTCTCGGGATTTAAAATGATGCCGTTTTTGCCGCAGATGTCGAGCCAATCCACTGCCTGGAAGAAGCTGCTAGTAATATCATCACTCCAGAGTAATGTGTCATCGATGCACTTGGTTTTGTTGGGTACATCCGCAACGATTTCGTCAAAGCGTCTGGAAAAGCCGTCCCCAGATGCAACATATCCTTGAGGGGCAGTTTTGTAGCGGTATCTACCCCAAGGTGTGATGAATGTTGTTAGGTGGCGATCGTCTGGGTGGAGGGGGACGCTGTGGTATCCGTTCCAACAGTCAAACACAGTTTTCTTTTTATCGCTGGGTACAGATCTCGCCTGGTGGAAGGGGCTTTGTGTGTGATGTGTTTCCCGTGTGGCATGGAGGTTTAGTGCTTGGAAATCGACTGTTCTGCGTGGTTTCCCATTCTTCTTGGCACAAATGACCATGCGATGGCACCATGTAACTGGTTCACCAACAGGAACAGGTTCGAGAACGCCCAATTCAACATCACGATCTAGGCCAGCTTTAACCTCATTCTGCCAGTGGAGGGGAACTGGGATGGGATTGTGATGTGCCACCGGAACAGCGTCAGGGTTCACCATGAGTCGCATTGGTGGGCTCTGCATGAGTGGTAACGGCTGGTGTTCGCAGGTATTGAATGTGCTTGAGGCATAGTGGTGCAATAGCCATTGTTGTAGCAGTGGACAGTTGGCTTCAGTGGCTGAGTATGGCAATTTCTTTGGGCGTTGCGGCGGCATTTGTCGTTTTGGGCAGTTGCACGATGCAGCATGTGTGCCGTATACCGCATGGTTAAGGTTTGGATTGTCCTGGGATGAGTGGGCTGACATATTGGGTGGCGCTAATGTCTCTCCGATTGTGGGGAAGGTATTTGAGATCATTCCCAGGGCCATGCATGCTTCTCGGCTTAAGAAAAGCTTGTCAGAGTCGTCTGTCACGTAGGTGATCTGTCGAGTTGCCAAGGCTTCGCCAGACTTCGATTTGCCTGAGAGACGGAGGATAGTGGCGCCGAGGATGTTGATGCCATTGTTATTCGCCGCGTACATCCGCATGGTGACGGGAATGAGGTCTTTCTCACGCAAACCGAGGTGCTGTATGATTTTCAAACTTGCCAAACAACTTTGGCATCCAGTGTCGGCCATGGCTGGTATGTCGACGGCTTTACAGCGGGTGGTTGGGGGTGCAAGTCCGAGGGTTTTGTAATCTTCGGGGTATATTGTAGCTGTAATTGAGACAAAAGGTTGTGGTTTGGAAGCTTGACGAACCCAGCAATCGTTAAGGTGGTTGTACAGGTGGTGGTCCAACGCGATGGGTGTTTTGTTTGTAGTGGCAGGGATGTTGGATGTTGTGCACAGCGAGTCAAATATCGCGCCTTCTGCATCAGCAGACGGGTTGATTGGTGTTACTTTTGGGGGACGCTTTGGTTTTTCTTTTTGTTGGCATACCGCATCAAAATGATTTGGGCGACCACAATGTCCGCAGGTTTTCCCGAACGCAGGGCATCTAGTTTTACGAATTGTTGGTGATGCACGTTTTCCATGTCCGTATTGGCCGCAGTAATGGCATTTGTCGCCTTTTTCTGGTTGGCGATTTTTTATTTCTTGTTTGGTCCGACGGTATTGGCTTCGAGCTGCATTTGCTGTTTGGGCTTCTAGGAGTCGGCCAGCAGAGCGTTTGCCGGCTTCTTTGGCTTCGATAAATTGGAAGACGTCTTCTAATGTCATGTTCTGGTTCTTGTCTCCCAGAAGGTCTAATTGGATGTCGTGGTCGGCTAGGCCGCGGGTCACTACATCGCGTATGATGTGTTCTGTGTAGTCTACATCTTCATTGCATTGTTGGCATTTCACTGTGAATTTGCAAACACCTGCTTGCCCTCTTAATCTGGCGCCAAAGCTGCGGATTGGTTCATCCCTGTCCTGTTGCATATTGTGTAGCTCAACTCGCGCCACCATTGTGTTTTCTTCTCGTACAGCGAGCTTTTTGATAGCAGACATGACTTCGTCAATGGGTTTACTAGCAAGTGAGCCCCCAGCGCTTCGGGTTAAATCCTTTCGTAGGTGTTCGTCGCAGCATTCAAGGAGCTGCATAACTTTTTCTTTACCTGTGATTTTGGTGGCGTCAGCATAGTCTTGCCAGCGTGTAAGGAAATATGACCATTCCTCACTTGAACCCCCTGTTGACAACGTTGGGCGGCGAATTTTCTCGGTTTTGTGTTGTTGACTTGGGGTCCCTGTGCTGGTATGTGTCCCGTTTGCATGGATAGTCAACATCACGGCAGCCAGGGATTCACTGAGGTCTTCCGTTTCGTATGGACAGTCCGGGAAGGGACATTGAAATTTAGGCATCTTTGTTAGATGAACGAGTTATGTACTCTTGATAAAAGTTTTGTTTTGTGTGGCTTACCTCGAGTGTCAAAACAAAATGGCGCCAAATTTGTCGATCGATAACCACGTTGAATTTGCAACGAAATGTGTAGCGTAGGTACGCGAAAATCGGATTAAAATAGCCACGAACGCTTTAGTTGTATATCATAGATAGGAATATATCCATTTCCCAATGCTACAATGACTTTGTACATAAATATCTACGATGTTATTTTATGTGAACTTGTCTACAGGAATGATATACAACAAAGAGGACGTATACACTTCATGTAACACAGTACATATGGGATCGTCTCCAGTTTACTATATAATTATCCAGGAGGTGAGGCCTACTGCATTCCAGTCACTACAGCAGCACTCTCAAGAAACACACGCACTTGACCAGAATCTTCAAGATGACCATATCACCACCATAATCAAGAAGATAACATACCTCTACAGTAAGATCTTCCTTCATCAGTTTGGAAAAGTCTATACTGACCGAATTGTGAAACAAGGAGCACCATCTAAACGGCAAAAGCTCAACAAACTCATCCTTTTCGGAAACGACTGAGTATAGTGAATAAAATCACTTAAATCTCGACATTATTTGATAATTGTGCATTGTTCTTTTTCAAAGTACCCAAGAGACTGAATTGAACTGTCCAGTGTACAGTACTTAATATTCAATTTAGTATCCAATTGACCACAGACTTAACTTGTAAATACTTCCTTTTAATGTTCTTTACATTTCCTAAAATGTTTAAAGTAAACTATTGGTTTACTTAACAAATGTAGTGTATTCTAACTCCTCAACTGGCCCAAGTGCCTTTTATCAGCGTCTTCGGCGAGCAATATATTTCTATAATTCATCCCAAACCGTCCAATCTGTAGCCAAAGACTTAAACGTATACGTATTTGACCTCAAAAATCAGAAATTTTCTTTATAAATTCCTCTAAACCCAAGTAAATGACTCGATTTGACCAGTGCCAAAGTGACGATATTTTCATAAAAACTTCGGCGAACGATATTTTTACATTAATTCATCCCAGACTGTCCAATTTACAACCAAAAGCTCGGCGATAAAAAGTTGTTGCCAAAATATGTCGCTCGAAGGAGATCGGAAACATTGTGTCGACGCAAAGTGCAAAAAACATGGTTTTTCCTATACCGTTTCTAATGTTTTTGCCCTGAATGGCCGCCATCTTGG